GATTAATGCAAAAGAATAGTATAAGGTAATAACTGTTTAAATTATGATACAAAAAAGGCATCGATTCTGGTCAATAGACAATTCATCTTGATTGATTACCCAATCAATTGTTGCCATTTTCATTTAGAATAGATCAATCATGGTGACATTGACGAATAACAGCCATCTTTGACTATCAATGCCCTCATTGCTATTCATTCAACAACAGTCAATATTGAGCAGATGTCGAGAAATTATTGGGTATCATTAGATTTTAATATATTATTATCTGCCATGGCAACTGCAGGAATAAACATGACGTCAACATTACTCAAAGGTATTCATTTAGGTATTGCAGTCACTTTTTCTCATTTGCTTATTGATATTTCGTAGTTCGTTCCATCTATACTTTTTCACTGTAAATCTATTTTCCATTTGTGGTGTCGATTTTCTCCACTCATTTGAACAGGTAAGCTAGCCAGTCGATTTGGATCTAGATTGTATATTTCGATAAAAAGTAATCATTGGCTTCCAACTTATTTTAACTCCATATTATTGATTCTTATTTGCAATGATATTAGTTATCCAATTTTTCATTTTCAAGTGAAAAACTAGATTCAGATAAAACAAAACTGAATCTGTAAAATTGGATAAGGAATTTTATACCGTTATTTCCTTTTCTTCAATTTTTAAAATATTTTATATCCAAACGCGCCACTCTATGTTTGACTCCAAATCTTGCTGCTGTTGACAGTGTCAACCTTTAGAATAGTTCATTCTACAATCTTGGAAAAACGCATCGTCGAAAGTAGTAATCAAATAATTAGTCCTTCTGCCCTTTCCCTACTGTTTTGCCAGTATTGCTTTTGTGTGAAGAGAAGGACTATCAAATTTTCATCTTCGTTCTATTTAGAATAGGTTCCTCAAGAGAAGCTTCTAATATATTACTATCGTGTGATTAGATGTCTTTTTCCCCTACTTAGTACGTTATCCATTTTATGATCGTATCTTTTACACTGAACTTGTAAAATCTCTATACCGCGTATGCGAATTAATAATCTTACCTAAAGAAAACCCATTTTGTAACGAGATTGAGTAGTTGAACATGCTATTCAATTTAGATGTCAATAAATTTATTTTGGTGAAAAAATGATAAGTGACGCAAAGCGCAGAACCAGAATAGCAGGCTATGATAGGCTTGTAATGATCATTTTCGGAATTTTATCATCACTGTGATAGTATTTTAGATATACTACGCTATAATTATTACAGATCGTTTCAATTTTGCATCATAGTTTTAATCTATTATCTATTTTTTTCTTCTCCTTTCTTGCCACTTTCACTTTGTTTGCACCTATAGTAAAACAATTTTATTTCTTATCCTTTGCGCTTTTCTTTGCTTTAATATTCAAGATAGCTTCAGCTATTCATTGATTTCTTCTCTTATGTATTTGCATTATAAATAGGAAAAAGAACTTAGTTTGAAATACAATTTATTCAGAATGACGACGACTAAACTTTCAATGTCTTTGGTAGCCATTTTGTTGTTGGCAATGGTATCCATTCGGCCTATCAACTGTTTTGAAATGTCTTTTAGCCTCCTATCAAATAATGTTCAAGAAACTGAAACCATTAGTAAGTTTTACCGATACAAATTGAGTTCAAATTAGATTCAATCTTAATTGGCGGCCAATTTATAGTACTTGAAAATCTAATGGCAGTCATGAGAGTCAGTCTATCCAATAAAAATCCATTCCCAGGTTGGGTTTATTCTCCATGGACAGGTCATTGATGATACTGTTGCATCGATGTATGATTCGGCCAGGCCAATTGAATCAATTTATAATTTTTAATGATAAACGTGGGCTATTGCTTCCTTTATTTTTCTTTACTTTAAATGAAAGTAGGAACATTAATTGAACTGACTTTAATTAGTTTAAATAAAACGTTTGAAGTGAAAGCAACAAGCTATTACAAAGCGCTGTATTTTCATTTCCATTTTCCGCATCTTATACCGTTCAAACCACGGCAATAACAACGGTCATAAAGAGCGAAAAAAAAAGCCGGAAAATTGATAATTCAGTGACAAGTTGGACTACAATCTTAATCGTTGTTGCTAGATCCAAGTCAAACTGTTTCATGTAAGTCATAGAATTGTCACAACTGCTAGACAAGAAAACGGATTTATCCATTCCACTAGAGGAATAGACACAACTGCTTATCGAAAGTACCGTAGCCATTGAAAATATATTGTTACACACTGTCTACTAGAAAAATAGGAAACAGTCTATCCATCATTGATAATTTAGTGTTTTAAAATAATGTCAGATAGAAAACGATTGTTTCTACATTACTAGCTTGCCAAATCGATGCACTATAGGAAAGTAGATGAGAAAGTAGAACAATAATTGTTCGAGTTAAATCGGCAGGCGATATTACTAGATATTAAGTAGAAGAGAAAACGGAGCAATAGCTGATCGAGTTGATTCGGTAGGCAGTATTGGTAGACATTTTTTCTTTTTCATTCCATGATGTGATAATTATAGGAAATACATTGTGCCAGCGGCCATAATTGATATTCTTCTTTACTCTATCCTTAACCGTGTGAAATACTTTTTTATTTTCTATATGAATATTTATTAGTAAAGGAACGAATGGATTCAAATTATCCGTTAGCTAGGGTAAAGTTGTTTGGATTAGACATAGAATAGACTTAAATATTCATTTCTCATCACGAGTAAAATAGAATTTTTAAATGATAAATGATACAGATAGAATCCGACAAGGAACCATTTCGGAGACAATTTTTTACTCTAGATCAAAAGGAATATCATAATATTGATAACTAGGAATAAAAATGATTACTTTTAGAATACTTGTTTCATCAGTGTACGCAACAGAAATCATTGAAAATGGCTATTTCATGCGGTATTAGAGCCCCCAAAAATTTCACCTGTAATTATCTGCCGTTGTCAAAAGAAGATAGGAATTGAAAAATGCGCTAGTATAAAACAATATAGAGCCAGGATAAAGAATTCAATTCTTCTCTGTTTCGTATGTAAAGACATTGATTGATCTATTTTACTTACTGTATAATCTATCGTGCAAAGTGATTCAAAAGTAACCTTTTAAAGGCCCAATGTAAGAGTTTTAAGGCGAACATTCAAAAATTTTTTACTCCTACTCACGGATGATTCAAAAAGTGAATTGAGTACAAAAAGATCTTAGTCAGTGAAAATGATATGTCTCAAGACGCCCGCAAGTATCTTTTTGCATTCGATTTGATAGCACATTTTTAAGATCATTTCAAAGGGATCATTTTGAATCGATTTACTCGCTTTTTGCAATAGTAAGATAGTAATGATGGAAGGAATCATATTTAGAGCCCAAAAGCAATCGATTTCACGTTAGGCGTTGAAATATGTTGGTCAAATTTCCTTTTACTTATTATACCAGTGAAAATGATTCATAATTATTATTTTCTTACTGATACATTATAAACAAACAGGCGATAAACAGCCCATAGAGAAAAGATTTTTTAATGAGTTATTATTAATTAATATGAACCGGTAAACTACTCTGTGATCAATTCCTGATTGAATTGATCGGAATTGATTATATATTATTTAGATTATAGGATAAAACATTGATATTGTCTTACGATGAAATGTCATCATACAGGCAATTCGGAGGGCAATTATGTGATGATGCATTATATCTGATCAAACATGCTCTAAGTAATTATAATCATTATTAAAGTTCAGTTTTACTCCCATTTATCGTCAAAAAAAATGGGATCATTTGGTGTATTGAAACTGAATTCAATTTAGAAGGCAAGATGTAGTGATAGATTGACCATTAAAAATTTCTGAAAAACACTTACTCTACGGCTAATATGTTTAATCGTACTGATGAAATATTCTATAAGTAACGATTAATAAATTATTGAAAAAATTAGGTTGCAAAAATTGAACGCAAGGGCGTATACTGCAGTATATTGTTGATGATCTAAATTTTTAATATAAGGCATGGAGTCATATCAACCATCAAGAATGCGCTAAAACAGTTATCTATCTTACATCAATAACATAAATTTTTACTGTATTCTTTAGTAGAAGTTATGTCGAGCTATATTTAATAAATGATCGAAGAAATGAGGAAAACCATTTTCTAGTCATAGTATTATGGCAAAGCAGAACTGAATCTTTATTATACCGTAATGAGTTGCTATAGTAGAATTCTGCTATCGACATATACTGATAGCGAAATTGAAATTATTTCTGAATTACTGATTTTAACCATATAATAGCAAATAAATCAATTGTCAAAAAACTCGGAGAAAGAACGATAAAAAGCAATAATTAATATTCTTAATTGGTAAGAAAAAATACCCAACGAAAACAATTCGTCAATTGGTATCGTACTTATATGGCAGGCGGAATAGGGAAAGCACTTTATTTTTCGTTGTAGCCTTCATTTTCTTTTTCAAATTAATTTAAAAATATTCAACTGATTTACGCGTATTTCTATTATGGGAGAAAATAAGCTTGCAAGTAGCAAATAAACTACTACAAATGCTGTAATTATATGTTATAGACGATTAGTAGCGTAGTTAGGTTATTTAATGAATACCACGAGGGTATTTCATATTGCAATAGTATGGCTAAAGGTCATCGATATGGATGGTACCTGTTTTCCTTATAATATCAGTAAAACTATAAACCAATCTTATGAGATACAACATGTCAAGGCAAAAGGAAAATTCTAGTAGGAAGAGTAATAAAGACTAATGAATGATCCGGAAGGGGTTAAATTTGCCATTCTAACATTATTTATTCTGGACTAAAATTGATTCGATATCGTATTAATTGACACTCAACATGGTATCAAATAGGATAGTTATTGTGTAATAGAGCCTATCTTAGTCAAAAATAAAACACCAGCAAATGTAGAAATATGATATACGACAATATTGGATTACTATTTAAATGTTACATTATGTTCTAACCTCTTTTCCCCGTATGTATTATTCTACTTCAGCCTCTCAAGTTGAAATGGCCACATCCAGCCTAGGTAATTTATACATCTTACTATGCGTATATTATAATTTATCAAGTACTGCTTGAATAAGTCTGTATTTAATAACTATATCATGCAGTTGATTAAAAGAAGTAATTTTTTACTTATTTAATTCATTTATACCTATCGTGAACATAACCGTATTAATCATCGAAAGATTATTAAGACGGATAAATTAAAAAGAAGCCATTACTTTCTATGCATATCCCAGCTTTATTAACTAAATTCATCTTCAATTTTAATTTTAGCAATCACAGCTACTATGACGACACAAGTCACTAGTACACCTACTGGTAAGTCTTCATATTAAATGGCAAAACCAAGTTGGCCGTAAATTTTGCATATCGAACTTTTATTAATTTTATAACATTATTTTAAATCAGCTACTGCTACTGCTTCTACGCCTACAACCCCGACAGCAACCGGTAAATATTAAAATGGTTATTGTAATCTAAAAACTTCGTAAAGATTATTTTCTATTATAAATTTAAGTATCGCTGTTAATTTGATCGCCTCTACTATTAAGGATGGAATCCTTGGTCTGCTTGGATTTTCGATGCTTGTAGTGTTCCTTGCGGCAATGGTACTAATATGGGTTATAGAGTTAGATGTCCAATAGGTATCAACATAGGTGAATTAGGTACTGTTATACCAGTAACAGATAACCCTAAATGTGAAAGTGAAATACGAAAAAATTCGTTCTGTATTGGAAAAGCATGCCCAACAGCACCTGGTACTGCTAGCAATGGCGCAAACCGTTGTTTCATGTACTCTACGCCGCTCATAATTCTACTATCTTTGCTAAGGTAAAGCACTTTATCTAATTAATCAACTTAAAATTGGATACATACCTTAGTTAGTTATTAATGATTTTCGAATAATACAGTGGTGTTTAATAACGATCAGTATGAGTTACCTGCATACTATGGGTATCTAACTAGTACTAACAATATATAGCAACATGTGGGATTAATATTCAATTTACATGATTTTTCAATAGCTTTATGCAATACTGGCTATAAGATAGATCAAGACCTTTCTGGATTAAATTATTACATAGAAAGGAAATTGGTAAATTTTTCCTTACATCTTACTGCTGTAACGCAATTAAAGACATCAAAATAAGCCATCACCGACGCCCAAGATAATCTGCCGTTGATTACATTTCGCTTACTGAAAAAGAGACTCTGCGCGTACATACAACCATATTAATTGACTAATTAACAGTAAATATGGCTATTTTATAGTAGCTCCACTGAATGATAACTGACAATGTATATGATTCCACAGATACTGCAAATTCAGTTGTATATGACGAGAAAGTGGTTACGACATTGCCAATAGTTTTCGAGTATAAATTTTTAACATAAAATATAACGGTACCAGTAATTGCTACATTAATAGATGGCTTACTAAGTTATAAGAAACTAACTTGGTACATCTTCCAGTTCACACATTTATCAGTGTTAATCAGTTAAAGCTACACTACTCTAGGTATTTGATATTCGATTGTGATGTAATACCATAATTACTTAACTATAATTATCCAGGATGATGCATATTATTTAAACACTTTATCAATTACAAAATCTCAATATTGTGTATAAAATTATGAGTTTAATCCATTTACAAGTCCATAATACTGTCCTTGTGCAATTAGAAAAATCTTTTACTGCTCTTAAATTAAACATGTATTTATGATGAATTGTTTAATGATTCATAATAATATATATATATATATATAATACTATTTACGATTAAAAACTAAAAAAAGGTGATCGACATAGTACGACGATAAAATGCTCCTACTTAGAGTGTTGTTGATATTGGTACAATATAATTACTAGATATTTAAAAATGATCAAATGGTTAGAAAGTTGATTGCTTTATTGCAATAATTGAGTTAAATTGTTATTTCGTAGTGACGTCTTAAATTTAATACTAATATGTAGCGATTATTGTCGATGATGAAAGTATCTTAAAATTACTCCAATTTCTATCTTTAAGCTATCATCAAACTTCAATGAATGGATATATTCCATCATTGATCATAACGCAATATTTGTCGACTATATATACAGATATACGAGTATTTTAATGTTTATATGATGTTATTCATGAAACAAGAATTAATATTTTCGGAATTGGTCATGTCATGATATCATTCTGATCACTTGCTTGGCAATAGCATGTTGTTAACGATGAATACATTATAAACATTAATTTATCTTTGCTCCGGATGAAGTTGTAGATTCGTATATTATTTGGTAACTTTTTAGATTCGAAAATATTCCTTCTTTTCGATCATTGTAATTGAAACGCCTAGAATTGGCCTAGATATAATTATTTCTCAACGATGACCATGACAAACGCTATTATAGCTTGAATAAAGCTGATTTATAATTTGAAACCATATTGAGCCACTAGCGTATTCCATGGTCTAAAACAGTGAAAATACAATTTTGTTGCATTGCAATGTAACTGCATATTATAATTGATCTACAATTATATTCGAATAGGATGTGCACAATAATAAAAGTATAAGAACTAATCCGTTACTGTTTGATACTTAACTCTAAGAAAGATCTGCAATAGCACAAAATATATTGAAAATCAAATTTTTCGGTCATTGATAAGTCTCTCAGAAAATTACAATTTAGTACCGTGATCATCTATTTATGAACAACAGAAATTAAAGACGATTTCAGGTACTTCGATAGCACATAATCGATTAGAATTATCGTAAACAGAATAAAATGATTAAGTACCAATTAACATTCAGCCTAATTTGACCTTTTGACATTAGCTCTTTTAGAGTGTGATTAACTATGTGACTTTTGAGAGTTTCGCACTTGGTCTATGCAAGAAATACTTTGTTTACATACAGTATAATACGGTAAGTTGAGCTATTATTGGATAAGAATTTTTTTATCTATGATAGCTAAGTTAAGAATGCAGTACTTATTATTATGATAATTAATTGTCACTCGGTAGGAAAGCAGTTTTAACATAATTATAATTACCTTTCATTAAGGTACGATTGATGATGACTATTCTATATTATAAATAGCTAGGAGCACGCAAAGGGAGTAAGCATTGGCGATGAAAATATTGTTGCATTTTAAAACTAGCTGTCGTGATGATAATTAGTTAACAGCAGTAATAGATGGGCACTTGTATAACAGATTGCATCGATTTAAGCAAGTACTATAGATGCTATTATTAGAAATATGGGGTTGTAACGTAGAAATTACCTTACGTAATTGTTTCGTTGGGGCTCTGGTAAAATAAATGTGGTGCTCTGTAACTACTATAGCAAGGATGTGATACCTATGAATATAATATCAGCAAGATCTGGATACGAAATAACTTTGTCTGGATTAGGAATAGGGTTATCTATGACTCTAGATGCTATTATTAGCAATATGGGAATGTAATGAAGAAATTACTTTCCGTAATTGTTTCATCAGGACTTTGGTAAATATAGGAAAAGTGATACTCCGCAGCTAACATAACAAGGATACCATGTCTATGAATATAATATCACAAGATTTAGAACTAACTTGTTGGGGTTATGACTACTCTAGATGCTATTACTAGAAATGTGGGAGTGTAATGATGAAATTACTTCCATAATTGTTTCATTGGGACTCTAGTAAGTATAGGTAAGGTGGTGCTTTGTAGTTAATATAATAAGGATACCATGCCTATTAGTATAATATCAGCAAGATCTAAATACGAAATGACTTGTTTGGGCTAGGGTTAGGGTTTACTATAATTCTATATCAACACATACTTAAGATACGGGTAAAGATATGTCATTATTTAGTTAGCATGGATAAATATGTACCGCAGCAATAGAATAGTTCTTAAGACTCAATGATGAGGCAATGTTAGGTTTAAGATATTTGCATTTATACTTGATCCTGCTTGCGATCTATAATAAAAAGAGTCATGGTAATTAAAATACAAGACAATGCTATCTTGGCTTACGTATTATTATATAATTATTTACCATAGTTGTTTACTGGGGGCATAATACACCAAGACAATGGTAGATGAAAGGGTAATAAAATTGATATTTTTGGCGTCAGAACCGACGCTAAAATATGATAATTTTTTACTTCAGACGATGTTCTTGGAATTTATAGTCTTCTGTGACATAAATCTAAAATTCATTAGGTCGTAGTGGCTCTTATCTAAATTACGTTTGTCTTATAAGGCTTAAGCACCTAGACAATGGTAGATGAAAGGGTAATGAAATTAATATTTTTGGCGTCAGAACCGACGCTAAAATATGATAATTTTTTACTGCAGATGGTGTTCTTGAAATTTATAGTCTTCTATAGCATAAACCTAAAATTCATTAGGTCGTAGTGACTCTAATCTAAATTACTTTTGTATTCTAAGGTTTAATGTGAAATTGTAGAATTACCTTTAAATAGAACTTATTAGTAATGCTGCAATAACGCATAACGTGATAAAAAAATAATAATAAAAGGACAAGAAATAGCTAACACATGAGATTTCCTGTTAATTTGCTGATTAAATCGTTAAATTGTCTTTACAGTCAGTACATAATGCTAGTATATCAAGTCAGACTATTCCAGAATTGATCTATATGTAATGCAATATAAGAATATCAACTCGCATGCAATTTTGTTACTTTGATTTGATCGATAACACAAGAAAAATACATCAGAGATTTTATTTCTAATAAGTAAATCTTTATTTAACGCAGTTTAAGATGTCAAGTCCATGTGAATGGACAGGTTATAGTCCAAAAAATATCAAGTTATAACATGGACGCCTGTGTACGTCGACGTTAGCTTATGAAATATAATGATATTGTACGACTATGCGCTGTATTCGCAAGATCACTATATAATTAATTAATACAACTTGTATATCCGCTGTTGATGTTTTACAAGAGCAATATCGAAATACGCAACTACCACGTGTAATGATGAAATATCATCGATGTGGTAACGTATCTAGATTAATATGACTAAAATCAAATATAGAAAAAAGTATAGCAAAAACTTGATTAGTTACACAGATATTTACTCAAGTAATTTTGTAATATATATTTGCTACTGAAATTAGATAGTAAGAAACAAAATTAAAGAAGCAACTTAGTAGCTTAATACTTTTCAACAAATAAATTTTGTTGACGTCGAGTATTATGATAGAATACTTTGTCGTTTAATAACTTTGCAAAGAAATTATTAAACTCACTTTAGAAAGCATCATTATGATTAGTGCTTTTGAATCTACTGTACATTGGTTATATTTTTAGACGATAAATAAAGCATGCAAATCATACTCTGTAATCCTGTTTAGCCGTTCGACAGCAATGTGAGAAAAATCTTCAAATTTTATGCAGTAAAGAGTTCTAATTTTTTTTGTTTTCAATAAAGCGAATCTTCTAGGCTATTTTCTCTCGTAGTAAAACCGTATCCCGAGAAAGTAAACGGCTTATCCGACTCAGAAGAAATACTGCATAAAACTGTAAATAAAGAAACATTTTGATCAAAATCTGGCAATTTAATGGCATAAGCTCATATTTAACCTTAACAGTTCATTCGCTATCGATGACTTTTAAAATAAAATTGATGTACCTGATGAAAACTAAAGCGATAACCAAGGGCAAAGAATGGGTAGTAGTGTGCGGAGCACCACTAGTGGGTATAACTGTAGAATTTGTTCCACATGTGCCAACACAGAAAGCGTTGTCTTCTTGTTTATTTTCGCAGTTTTTATTATCGTTGACTTTGCATCTTTGCCTGGTGCGAGTGTGAGTACCGTTACCGCAAGGGTTGGAACAAGCCCCACCGACCCAAGCACTCCATTGTCCCCATGCTATATGGAATAGAAAATAAATGCATTATTTTCTTGATCGTTATATAAAATTGAGTTAACAAAATCAAATTCAATTAAAAAGTTGCGGGTTAATTTTAGTTATTTCAAAATCTTACCAGCTACTGGTGTGGCAGTGGTATTGCCAGAAGTGGTTGTGCAGGGTCCAACGCAGGGATAGTTTGCTACATTTTCATTCTCACAGAAGTTAACATCATTGACTTTGCATCGTTTTCTAGAACGAGTAGTTGTACCATTTCCGCAAGCATTAGAGCATGTACCAAGAGTCCAAGCGCCCCATTGTCCCCAAGCTACAGTAGAAGTCATTTATTTAATTTATTATAGAACAAAGATTACGAATATGTAGTAACTAATAGTCACTGAAATGAAGAGTATAGGGCTAAAAATTATAATATTCAATTTACCAGCAACTGGTGTCGATGTAGCGGCAGCAGTTGGTGTTACACCGGATGATGTAGCAGTAGCTGAGATTGTTGGTGTTGGCATATAAGAACCAGTAGCTGTGGAAACAAGATCAAAGCATCGATTAAATTGGGTAACTATGGTAACCAAGCTAATGAAGACTGTCCATATCTACTGTTAATTTTTACATTACTGTCTACTACAAAACAGTCGAAGATGTGAAATTATGCTAAAAATTGTAATAACTTACTTGCTATAGATAGAGATGAAGGTAATAAGGAGAGAAAAAAAGATAGAAAAATAGATTAGTTTGTTGATCGAAATCCATGGATTGTCTTTACTCTTAATTAACTCTAAAGATTCTATTATTGTGCCTATTGTTTGCGTAGCTTAGGATAATTGTTTTACTGCGATACTCATCTTTACTTAGAGTTAAGAAATGGTATCTAGGTACTAAAAAAATTTTACTAATCATCACTTACCATCTATTGGTTGCGAGATGGTTGCGGTTACTATAAATAATAAGGAGAAGAGAAGAGAGGAGATTTGATTTTAGTGATGGCATATAATTAAGCTATTCGATCGAGTTTGATAATTGGACTTTAGTAAATATTTCTACGGTGATCGTAGTAGAATTATTTTTAACTCGATTTTGTAAAGCTACTAAGCAATTTGATGAATAAATTTTACGATCGATCGATGTTATAGATTAAAATGATAGTTTTAGATTCGTGAATAAACGACGGTCATGTAGATAGCGCAATAAAAATTTTACAGAAGGTTTTTTACTCCATTTGTCTTGATGTTCTATAAAGAAACTTACCATCAGCGGAACTGGCCATATTTTCGTCAGCCGTACTGTAAATGATTAAACTAACTTGACCAGCAGCCAACTGGGTGATAGCGACTAGAACAACTATTAAAGTGAATTTATACATTTTCGTTTGTAGTGTTTAAGTTTTTTAATTCTCCAGTAAAAAAGGAAAAGTCGTCCAAAAAGTTTTCTATATCGATCCTACCAATATAGAAAAAGATGAAGAAATATATATTAGTCAAACATGTTCAAAAATGATTATCTTTATGTTGCTATCGGATATAAAACTACCTGTTGATTACTGTACTGAAATTGTAGTTCTATTCTAACCGTAATTGTTTTACAGTAGCATTAAAAATGACAAACTATCTTTCAAGCTTAGCCCAAAAATCACAATCAATTCAAAGTCTCGATATCGCATACCTTTTCGCGTAATTTGGGTTATCGTTAAACCCTCTTCAACACTTAAGGTTAAACTGAGAAATGCCGATGACTACGACCGTCAACAACTTTTAACAAGTAGTTGTAGCACGTAGCTATGGAGATTAATCTGACGTCAATAAAACATAAGCCAATTAGTAACGCGAACTGATCAACATCCACGTGGAATGTAGACAAAAGGAATCCATTCCGCAGTTACTATTTACGTAACGCCTCAACTTGTCGCGTTTCTATATATATATATTTAATACTAATCGTCTGGTTTTATGTCCTGTATCCGGTGTGATCCTTTAAAAAGTATTACGTTCAATACAAGATATATATTGATGAACACGATGTTGATTGAGTACAGACAATAAAAACCATTGGATTAATTCTTTTTCTCGCGGCATTTTTTAGATTTCATCTTTTACTTTATGTTGATGTCTATATTTTATATATCATAGTGTATCATCCTTTTTGTATGCATGTTTTTGTGAATGTATGCTATTTTAATTGAGGCAATCGATCCCATATGAACTATACATGCATCGAGAAAATAGTCTTAACTATCAACTAGACGATCATTCAATAGGCTAAAAGTCAAGTATATCAGTGGAATGCCAATATGATGTCAGCATCTAATAATCATCATCACTGCTACATAGACTGGATGCCTTTAACTATATCTTCTTATGGCTACAATTTTAACTAATGTATTGTTATCTTATTTGCGAAAATGCCATTCATGTGATAGAACAACAATGAATTGTTATGCACTTTTTATACTAAAGCCTACATTTAATATTCCTATTTTAAGAACAATGATGACATCAATGAAAATACGGCCGTCTAACTAGGCATTATAAAGTTTTCTAGTAATTTATACGTATAACTTGTGGAATAAACAAAATAGAATGACTTAAGAACAATTGCCAATTGGCTACAGCACCTTTGGGCAAGTTGCTAGTTTCTATTGTCGCCCATACAAGAATTACCTTTTCATTAGTCGTCAAGTAAGTATTATTCGCTTTGTTCTCTATTATTGCTTATTCCCCATAGCAAGGTCAATTTGCTACTATAGTTATTCAATTTCTATTCAATCTATTTACCAATGCAACGTCATAAATTCTCTAAAAATAGATTGGTATAAATAGCGATCGCGATCAACAACTGCAGCAGTTTCTGTGCATGCCTTGACAGAGTCTATTTTGATGGCAACAATAGACTTTTCTATGAGTTTGATTCTGTGTATCTTGTAATGGGAATATGATTAGACTATATTCTGAATCGAGGTACAAACCTTAGAGTAATAGTTATGATATAGACTGGAATTTTGAATAAAACAGTTCACAACTGACTAAATGCTAGAGTAATCCTATATTTTAAGTGAGGTTTAAAAGTTGCTTTAATCTCATAATGTCGATACGAGATGTTGAGATAAAATTAAACGGCAAATTAGGGTTATCATGTTAACAAGTATTTTGGATAATTTTATTATATAAAGTAATTACTATGGTAATTTCCAGTGATAGGTATAGCTATATTGGATTTAGTCGTATACATATCTATGGGACTAGTTGATTTCCATCCTATACTCATAAGAAAGTACATGAGAGTACTGCTTATTATCATTATTCGTAAGCACTCTCACTGATTGTACACGTATTAAAATTTACGGATGTTTGGCAGTTAACTACGTACTACTACTTGTATGTAAGTTTTACAAAAGGTTACAGTAAACCCTGCGCTTTGTATAAAAGCTGACTATAGTTTTGATATAGCATAAAGATTGGTATGTTAGTATGCTATTGATTGAATGACAAGTATATCCGCTAATAGTTAGCAAGTTTATCATGGTACTGTTAACTGTGCATAATACGTAGTTATAGACCGGTTATGTGTATATAAAATGACTTATAGTCAAATTTATGATGTTTACGCGAAGGATTCACTCCAATTTCGTACTATAAGGTATAGATAAAGTAGATTTACCAACTAGGTGTCCATAGCTATGAATTTTATAACGTCTTTGATGAAGATATATTAGGATATTGTTGCAGAGTAAAAATGCGAACATATCTATAAATTAAATTTAATTCCATGCTCCGCATAAGATGAATTGATTGGAATTTTATGTTGTTCAGTGTGGAGCTATAAATCAGAAAACATAAACTGCTATTACTCTATAACCTATTGAATTGCAGGTGCTTCTTGTTAAATCGATGTAATCATATGAAGTACAATAATGAATTTCTTTATTAATTATAGGAAATTATATTTTGGATAGTACAGTATTTTAAAGGCAATTTATCGTAAGGGGAGAATCTAATCGTTAAAGTAAGTTAGGGCCAATAATATTTTAAAGTAGAATCAACCACTTTAGTCGTAAATTTGTAACACCATTGGCTGTGGGATATAAGCTAATTAATTATGGTAATTAATTAAATTATATTATTGTTAACTTTGCTATTTTTAAACGGGTAATTGACTTACACAGAATTCTATGCACAGTAAATTTTACTTATTCTATGATAGCTCGGAACGCAGTATATATTTAGCCGTAGCAGAGTGGTTCATAATAAATTGATTATTTTATCAAAAATTATTGTTGCTATGAAACTGTGCGAGAATGTACCGATAGACTAGAGGAAATAAATCACGCTGTATCAATATTTCCAAGAGTACTCGTGTTATGCGCAATGATAGTTTACAAGAAGATTACAGGTCTCAATAAGTAAGCTATCATATCAGATTCCGTGTTGTTATGAAAACTGGATTATATCTTAAATAACCTGTAAATATCGATTTCTGAAGCAATTTACTAGACTACCAAAGTAAAGATAATTGCATACAAGTGTATGCTGTACTCAAACTTAAGCTAATACGTTCATAGTCTGAGGACATGATGAATTAGACAGATAGTAATGCTAATAAACTACAATATTGGGCTACAACAATTTTAATATATTTTAGTCGCAAATAGTATTATGTACAATGGTTAGTAAGAGTAGCATATAGCATTTTAGCAATTCTATGTAAATTTATTGCTTATAGAGAATCTACCGATCTAGATCATTTTTAGTAGTGCATTACTTGCTTGTTAATTTGCAATCTTAACAATTAGCCTTTTAATAATCGTATTTTACATTTTAAGAAATTTTTGTCTGTTGGATGACTTTTTAATTCCTATCAGCCTGAATGCTAGGCAAATATATTTTGTATGTATTGTTTTCTAGTTTTAATAGCATTGGTGATCGGTTTATAAGCTACACACCACATTTTCGTTTAACCACTTAATGTTAGACACTACTGATTTTAGGTTATGAATATTACCTTCAAATCGATGTCCCTTATTTTCACAATCTATGCTGAGCTACAAAGCTGTCTTCAAGCTTTAATCCAATAGCATGTAGTGTTTCAGTACAACTTAGCGTTGCGCTGGATCAAGATTTTTGGAATGTATCGGCAATATTATTCTCATAAATATACTGCATTATAGTTTATCTTTAGTAAATACAGTCTTTCGTACAATTCTCACAATAAAATTGTTGTTCATTTATGAGATCATAAGTAACTATTGCAATAGCATCGCAAAATATGCTAGTGTTATATGTTCTTTTTTTGTTTCTAATAAAGCTGAAATGATGAATCATTGAGTTTGCTCTAATTTCTTCGTTAAATAAGGGTGTTTTTGCTGTAGGATTGGCTATATTAAATTTCTTTAATATAGCTATTAAAACAATATTACAATAGTTCTAACACAAATACTTTGCTCTCTCTTAAAGATGGCACCATATGTACATATATTGAATTAGACTCTGTTGTTTAGATAACAGCAGGAGATTGAAAAGTCTCAAGACCAAAACGTGAATTTTTCGAAAGGTCCGCGTACATTGATAGTTTAATTGGAATTAGGATAAATCAAAATAGAATTTATTGTATTCTTAAAATATTTGATGCTTTAATTTAATGACTTTCTCTATAATAGTAGCTTAAATGAGTGATTATTCCTTTATCGTTAGATTTTGATCAGTCTAATACCTAATAATATGTGAATGGATCACTATTTAAGTAATATAGGCTGATATCTTGTCGAATTCACTGTTGCATTCCTATTAAATATTGATACTGTGAGCTATCAATAAAGAGATTCTTTCTTTTAGTCTAAGGGATATAATAAATGTAATATTAATTACTTTGATACGGTATGCATGTATTGGGGGTTAACAGCTTTTTTTAATATTGAAATTAGTATAGTTCGGAGCCAAGAGTCGACTATTCGTTAGAAAGTATAACACTCAACAGAAATGGCGATTAGTCTAACTACTTTGCGTCATTCATTATTAGAAATGAACCTTTTCATAGCAGGGATTTTGCTTGCGAATACGGAACAAACGATTTCTTTGAGTGGTATCATGAGATTGAGAGTGCAAAAATAATTTTTGTATAGCTTATTCATAGTTGATTTCGCAATTACCCGAGTTGCTACACTAAGCTATTCGTCTTCCTTATTGATAAGGTTGGATGCTCATCGACAACGAGTAGGAACAGTGTGTACTATGTTGGTATTTATCAATACGGCATTGATTAATAGTCATGAAATAATGCATCTTTATACTTAAGATGCCCAGCAGCTGTGCTTTCATAGGACAACTAATCTTAAAAGGGTAAAGTGTTATACGCTTAGATATAAGTCTTCAAATTCTATAAATTAAATTCAAAGAGTGTATGAAACGAATGCATAGTCGATGATAGTATCAGCGATTGCATAACTTTATTGTTTTAAGTCTTGCGTACAATTTTGATATGCGAAGCAAATACTGCTAGATCCAGCTGGCTCCTAGTTGTTGTAATTCTGTTACTATATTTTATATATGAATGTTTGTTAGTACTTTTTTAACAGTTAAGGCCAAAATGTATCATAAGCAATACTTAATCATTGTTAATGGGTCAGAATTTACGCTTATATATTCGCAAATACACGAAGTAAAAATTAATAATGTTTAGCTTTTCAATGTCATTTGTTTACGTACTGTTTGATTATTTTACTTAAGAGAGGATTAACCTTTTTATAACTGATGTTTTTACAGTAGAACTACGATAGTTATGCTTAATTATGATAGATACATCCAATAGTTAAATTGTTTAGACTTAAGCATATTTAGTCATTATAAGCTAACTTTCAATCAGAGTAGTTTTATGATAAAGTTTATTGGTGCAGAAGGTATATTTGCATCATTGTTTAGGAGTTTAAATGATTACGGTATCAAATTTTATGGAGTATTTACGTCATAACGATGCTATTTAGGAATTAAGATAGCAATGATAAGCAATCCATTTGAATGTCCTCATGATATTATACTTTCATATTAATAATGGTTACATGCGTTAAAATTATTTATGAGTGACATCAAAAATAGTATTGGATATGATATCAAATGCAGTTATTTATTTAGGCTCTTAAAGTAAGAATGCAGCCTTAGTACGTATTCTCCATGAGTAATGCTTGTGTGTAGAGAAATCAGTATTCCGATAGTATCCATCTCTAACCAACTAGAATATTTCTTTTTTGTGGTGAGAGTTACAGTAGATTTAAAATGGATATTACTCAGGGTAGATATAATAATTTGTTTTCAAATGAATATTATTGTTCCTTGTCCAAAAATGAGAGTAAGCTATTGAATATATTACTATTTATGTGTTCAGGTGCCTAGAGTAGTACCGTACTGTAAAATTTATGAATATTTTTACTTCCGATTATCGTTTACTCTTACTTAAAGAGTAAAAGTGGACTTGCAACCAGTTTCTAGTTTTATTAATTTGTTTACATTCATAATTCATATTTCTATATATATTTCTAGAAGAGGATATAAATATATCATGGTACTAATTATTACCAGCAACTAACAGTTTACTGTATTTGTAGGATCGGGATAAAAATTGATATTAGCGCATTCTGAAGTAATAATAGTAATAAGGGCATTGTACTACGCATAATAAGTTCGCATATTGTTTATGTTGTTTTTATAATTTTGCGTTAATTTCATTGCGATATTCTTTGGGTTAAATTATCTTCATGCTAAGCATTAATGAGATTTTATTATTAAAAGTTAAGGATTAATATCTCTTGGTTGCTGCAAAGAAATAAACACAGTAGCCGGTATTATTATGTAATTCTGGGAATTTTAGCTGTCCGCCTATAAATTAACGGCCTAAGGATATCCGTTTATATTATTCTTGAACTATTTGTATAATAGTGATGCCTGATACAATAAAATCTTTGGCAATCAAATTATTCGTGCATTACATATGCAAAATTCTTTAGGTAAAGAAATTTTATGCGATTTAGCAATTTTCTTCGATCAAAAAAAAATGTAAAGTTAATAGGTCAATTTTTGTTTGAGTGTTAATCTATTATCATTTACAATAAACTGAATAATAGTGGGAAACTAGGCTCCATTTACTTGAAGAAAAATTTTTGGTAGACAAGTCATTCATGACAAAGGATATTGTTAAGATGTTACTTATACTTTAATTGCCATAGGTAAAAAATTTATAATGTGTTTCATTCTGGTTTATACAGTAAGTGATAAGGAATGAAAATGATTATATAGCTGTAGGTAGAATTTATAATGCCATGTACTAGCATAGTAATTTATTCTTTTAAAATAATGATGAGCAGTATTTAATCAATTCCCATAGCATTAGTTTTACTTTTATGGCATTACTATTTTATTTACCCATTATAAGGAGTGAAAAGTAATATCCAGTTAATAATTACCATTCGCTATTGTATATAAGTTAGTTGGGAGCTCGAGTACTAGTGAAGATAGTGTTTAAGACCCGGTTTCTTGTTACAAAGGAGATTTGTAACGAGGAGGAGGAAGCTTAAGTATTGGTTATTGTAATTGATAAAACATATCTTTATCTTGAACACCAGCGGTTATTAGGACAGTTGATTATCTGCTTATTTCGACAGCAATTTTATAATGTAATTCGATAATTAATAATTTTGTTTTAGAATTACTGCTGTGCTATTACGGCTGCAATATAAAGGTGTTTATATCGTATGAAAATGTAAATAATAATTAACCAGGATAGAACTTTTAAAACTCGAAATTTTTTTCTGATAATTTTTCTTTCTTTCACAAAGAACACATTCTTTATTGGTAATGATGTTATTGCATCATACGTAGTATTGTAGCTGTCAATAGCAAAATTTCAGGTTTAATAATTTATCAGTTAGTGGTAGAAATTCAATACAATATTTTGGAAACCTATAAAATGATTTAAAATTATCAGGAATAAAGGCATACACCATACATTGACAAAACAAATTTTTTACTTAATGAAACTTTCTCGTTAGCATTTGTATATCTTAGATTTTAGTACTTTGTGTAAATAGATTTGAAAAATTTATAGAATGTGAATTATACTCGATAAAATGATTAATATTATAAATAAACCAAAATCTAGTATTGATGCATTACATTACCTTAGTTATAGTGCTATTACTGATAAAAATAATGTAACATCTCATATGCTTATAGCTTTAAATTATTTTCACGATCGTGCTAATGTACAATTTAATTTACGATGACAAAATTGCATTCTATACTGGGCTACATTACGAGAATATCACCTCATATCATAGAGAAATAATTATATTTAGTTAAAAGAGAAGATGTTATTAAAATTAACGCGTTTTATCATCAGTCGAATATTATTTTGCATTAATTGGAGATGCTTTAAAAATAGAGATAAATTCTATTATTTAATACTTTTACCTTGACTAATGATAAAATTGTTAGAGGTGAGAACTTGTAGATTAAAGTGATATTTTATACGGATTTGTATTTTCTCTGATTCTGTTATAGAGAATGAAGTTAAGATCTCACTGACACTAATTCATCGGCTGGTACTGAGGCAATTAATGGTGCGATCTTATTATTAGAAGAAAGTCGATTTTGTTTTTTAAGGCTATTTCTAGATAGTGTATTTTGTTCGCCTTTGTAATGGATGCTAGTTTCATGTTTTTCAATTTTAAATAGAATTTTACAAGATTTTCTCATTTTTGAACTTCCAATAATATAGATGATAGGATTCCACATGCTATGGGAGTAAGCTATCCAAGTGAAAATTTCAGACAATGCGACGACCGATGGCGTATATGTTATTGCTTGAAAGTCCGCTAATGTATTGATCATGTAAATTGGTAACAAGCAAATAAAAAATACCGCCGATACAGCAACCATAACCATAACTACTTGTCCTTTAGCTTTTAATCTAACTTGATTGGTTGATGAGTGACCTTTAGCATGGAATAACTTATGAAATATGATAATGTTAGAGACAGTAACTGTAATAAATGGGATTGCAAATGTTAAACAGAATAAGACTAGGCTATAAGCTTTTCGACCAACAATCGTATCATTCCCCCATACTTCCAAGCAATAAATACCGACACCAGGGTATGTTACCAAGCGAAGCACGATAAATTGAGGGATTGTTAATCCTATAGCTATAACCCAAGTAATAGCAATTAAAACAGTAGTTTGTCGTAAATCACGGCGTGACCGTGATAAATCAAATGTTGTACGATAACGCTCCAAGGCAATAACTACTAGAGTGAATGAAGAAGCGTAAATAGCTACATTGCGTACGCCAAACAGCAATTTACATCCAGCTAGGCCAAAGGCAAATACTGAATTGAGAGAGACAACGGCTACAAAAGGGATAGTAACAGTAATAATTAAATCGCCAATTGCAAGTGCAAAAATTAATATATCAATAGGGGTTCTGCCTGTTTTTCTTTGTAATGTAATCACCGATATTATAACATTACCAAAAAGAGAAACGATACCGATGATCGTATAACCCACAATACTAGCTGCTGTTTGAGTGCTGCTGTCTACATTGCTGGAAAGATTGCCACTAATATTAGACATTATCAATTACGTAAGAGAATAGATTGAATTGAAAAATTGAAATCTTGAACGTTTGTTGTAGATGATAGAGAGATGATTGTTAAACAGTATAACTTATGCACGAGTTGCAATCTTTAAAATAGATCTGTTGTAATTGCGAGAAGAAACCCCCTCGTGTCTAGAAATGATACCGTATTTTTCATGTTAACTTAATGATTTTACGAGTCCAGTACTGGAGCCATGGTGGAAACGTCAAGGTATCTTACGGCGTATTAAAATTACATAGGATAAAGGGAAAGTAATGCGATTTTAGAATCAGTAAATGGATGAGGGTACATACCGTTTAAAGTTGGTTATTATCCAAGGGCAAAATGATGCCGACTGTCCACGCATTTTATACTGCCAAGCAGTGGCGATTATAATGATATTCAGCCATTGTATCGCTAATATAAACATCATAGTGACTTAAATTGGTTGATATTATGGAAGTCCATTGTTGGCAGGATTATTGTCAAAGTTTAAGAAAAGTTTTATAGAAATACGAGTATAAGATATACTTGCTTATCTCATGTTGCATAGCAACCTCATCAATTGAATTCTTTACGTACATATGCCTTACGTATTATGTTTTACTTTATTCGCTTCTTCCTTTGCCGAAAAAAGTCAAGCAGTGAGTACATTTTAAATACAGTACGAGTATTACATCGATAGTGAATGAATAATAACACTTTAACTGATGTCAAATGCGAGTACGACTGATTCTATTTATGAATATTGATGGGATTGATACTGATAATAGTTGGTTTATTGTTGTATATCAATTGAGTTATTGCAAGGGTGTTTGATCGGACGGGTTTGTAGGAAATGAATACTTTACTTTTAAAGTTGAGGTTAGCGATAGATCACTCAAAATTATCCCTTCATTAGTTTGGAAATAGATCCATAAAAGAATACCGTAAATACGTAATTATACTTTAATACCAGTGTATTATGTATAATTGTTTGTATGATTGTGCGTCTCTATCATTCCGAAGATGATTGCTACAGTATCCAAAATGAATAGTCGATGTTGAATATAGGACTACATAGCTATACGAGTGTTGTTACAGTTGCCATTAGTGATGGATCAATGCTAAAGTAAAGTTTTTCCGTAGTTATCCTATGTTGTAGTTACGAGTGCTCATCATTTCAGAACTAGTCAAACCTGACTGGTTCGAATTTTGTGTACCCGTATGTACGGCGGTATAAGGAATGCGTTCAGTGCAGGCCTCATCAAAGCATAATTTCTCTGAGATGTAGTATGGCTCAATTACATGAAGATCTAACCTCTGATTTAACCAAGATTGCGTAACGGTCTATACTTGTATTGTGTACGATGCATGCTACTATTATAAGACCTAAATTGTCAATGAAATAAAATTTCATTTTTCATGGCTGATTCATGCCTTCGTATACAGTATACTGTACAATGAGGAATAGATGCAATAAGGTTGAAATTGCAAAATGACAGCATGCTCATTAATATATATATATATATATATATCCAGTACAGTAGTAGGAAACTGAAGCGGACTTTCATCTGTTGATGGATGTACTGTGTTTTGCAGTACCTCTCGTAAGGTATTGTTGATCGTTCTTTTATCCTGACATCCGTCTTTATAAATATGTAATTAATGAATTGAATTAATTATTCCAAATTTCGCTTTATCTAGGTTGGACCGACCGAACCGGAATCGGTACTCTGAATTAGAGTAAATTTGATGTTGTAGAGATGGATACCAAATATTATCCCGCACAGTTCCAATACGTATACCCATGAATTACTCCAAGAAAAGTCCATAGCGTACCGTACTAAGATAGTTGTCAACCTACACTGTCCTGTAGAGGAAAAGATAGCGAGAAATGAATGGACTTTTTCATGTATTAAGCAGTAAACCTGCTACTACGTGACCCATCTTGTTCAGTAATATAAAAGCTTTTTAAGCTTGAACCTAGAATTTCTTCTACTGTGCTAACGACATAAAATTCAGCGTGACAGTATTCTTCCCTTTCTTTTTCAATATGACTCTACCTTACCGTATTTCAAAGCAACACCATTTGTTTGTCGTTGCTCATTGCATAAAATTGATCATTTTTATTATTTTGTTTTTTAAAGGGAAAATATTCTAATTTCTGAACTGAAGTTGTTCAACTTTGATACTAACTGTCCTTGAATTTTGACTTTGTACTGAATAAATGCACGATAGCGGCCATAACGCTTACTCATCCTTGCTTACAGTAGTTATTAGTCGTGAGTTTGATCCGCTTTCTCTTTTCTCGAGACTGTCGTCAGTCCAACATGATCAATTCATTCAAAGCAAAGTCTATCACAGTTGTAGGACGTCATGCAGGGTGTGTCCACTGTCCATCGATTCGCTCCACAAGTTACACACTGCACGTCGCATCACTCATATTGTGACACGTCATCATCACCGTGGATCTGATTCCACAGGGGTAACAAGTTTCATATTGTTTCGTGTGCGTCTATTACAGTCTAATGTACTGTACTGTACACTTGTACAGTACTTACCGTAGTACCGAGTGCAGTACTAAGTACAGTACTGGACTGTGGCTTCTAGTACAATACTGTATTGTACACTGTACAGTACTTTATATTGTTTCGTGTGCGTCTCTGACAGTCTGATGTACTGTACCAGTGTGAGCCAGCTCTCTTTAGAGTGCTATTAGGCAAAATAAATTGTAGTAAACTTGCAAAATTTGCCTAAAATTCTATATACATACAGATATTCAGCTTTATATTCGTATAATTCTTATTACATTTTGATTCACACTCGTGATTTTAGGGTACCTTAAAGTACTCTGATTCGAACTGGTTCACACTGTACTGTACACTTGTTACAGTACTGAGCGTGGTACTGAGTACAGTACTAAGTACAGTACTGGACTATGGCTTCCACTACAATACTGTACAGTGTACAGTGTACAGTACTTTACGCGTGATCTACTGTAATGCAGATAGCACCAGTACCCCGATCAAGTCCTGTCAATATACGGTACTGTATACGGTCGAGTACTGTGTCATGATCATGTATAGTCAACATCGTCAGCCAATCTCATACCTTACTGACATCGCAGCTGCCGTGCACATTACGGTATTATTCGATTGGTCAATCACTGCACATTGGATAGCTAACAGGTATACAACAATTTCTGCCAAGACTATTCCTTCCTCTTTCATCGACTTTTGCGATTTCGATCATCAAAAGCAACCTTAATACAGTCGTGTGCTGTGTATGTGTAGTTGAGATTGTCTATTGATCTAGGATTTCTATCTAGGCATCCAATTCAAGTGGCTTAGTCATTACATTGACTATTATTGACCGTGTAGGCTTAGGTAGAGATCATTATCATTACTACTCTTCACCACATTCAAGTTGTAACGCATTTCTAGCATCCATGGGTCTCAAGGAACGCTTTCCAACGGATTATCCCTTGTATGCCATTTCCACCTTAGATGATCATCATATCGTATTAGCTGGTGGTGGTGGTTCTGCGCGTACAGGAGTACCAAATGCTTTGGTAGGATATCTCATTTTTCTTTCAATGACTGACATAGAATCGTCGCATCATGAATAGACAAGTTCATTTGCATTCTGTCATCATCATCACACTCATCTCTCACTGGATAAAGTCGAGTTGTAGTTCTGTCCAACGACATTGATGATTCTTGGAAGTTGCTAGAAACACTTCCAGTCAATTGAATCAACGATTGCAGCATAGACTTGTCTATTGGATGATCATGGAGTGATATTACTGTACCTTGGCTCATCCTCTTTTTTTTTGCCTCACTCTTAGGAAATTTACAACTTAACAAAAGGTAGCGGCAACGCTATTCAAGCAGAACCGGTTTGTCGTTATGATACAGATCCGGAAGCAGTAATGAATATTGCATTGCATCCCAAAGAGCGCGTGATTGCATGTGGAATGTCTGAAAAGTGTCAACTCTTATCTATAAGGCAAGATACTCGAATAAATGAATCCAACGAGACGGTGAGGAGAAGGGGAGACGGAAATGATAGGTTAGCTAGTGCTAACTAGCACGTATGTCTTTAAATTAATTAAATATAGAAAAAGCAGTAGAACCAATACTATTTTCACCAGGTGACGATATTTACAAGCTAAACAACCAAAATGTTGACAATTCAACTCATTGTTCTAGAGTATTCTCACAAGTCAGTAAGAAACTTCTCCTTGAACCTGGATTGACTGTTAGAACTGATTTCAACGAAGATGGCCCCAGACAAAAGATTGTTCTATTTACTCGCTACGGATTAAGAATGATTACTGGTGGAATGGATGGCCATATAAGGATATGGAAGGTAGATTTGACAGCGCATTAATAGACTTATTGGCGCTTTTCCTTCACCTAAACCAAGATATATTAAAATGGCGAAATAAGTTATCGCTGAAGTCGTCTTCTTAGAGGAGAATTTTCCTTCAAGATGCTTCTTATCCTTTATGATTCATTCTCTTTGAACGCCAACAGTGCTTAGATTAGTGGATATATTGTAGTATATCATGACATTACTGTACGTACTCGTATTCTTTTCGTATCTTTTAATGCTGAACATTGTTACCAATAGACCAATGCTCATTTTTTTTATCGATGGATGGCGATATCGTTGAATAACTCGCTTTTCTCGCTAGTTTAGGACTGTATTGACATATCATAGGGTTTGGTTGTCAATATAATACGTATACAGTATACGAGTATATAGAATGGATCAAAAGGCCCAAATACAAATAGCTCATTTACAACTTTATGTTATTGAATTAAATACGCATAGAATATTTTAGTTGTAAAATTAATGTTTGTATCTTTATCTTGTTACAGTATCCTGACTTGCAGTTGCAACTGGACATTGCAGCTCATAGTGGCGATATTGATGAAATGGATGTAAACGAAACCGGAACAAGGGTATGATAATTATGCAGTGATGGACTCTGATAACGTGGAACATATATTACGTAAAACTTAATTAGCATAAAATACAGTATAGGTTATTGATAATTGTAGCTTATCAAATTAAGATATTCTTCATTAATTAATCAGTATCGTTATCCCTACCAACGATCATACTTATTCTATTGTATGGCGTTCATGAAATAGATACCTATAACACACCTTACCTCGTTTATACGAGAAATTATAACTAATCCAATCGACTTTGATATTGTGAAAGTCCTCAATGTAGATAGTGTTATACAATTTATCGGGATTATTTACACTGATTTTAATAATTGTTACTGTAATTGTAGATTGTATCTGTTTCTCGTGATAATCACGTCTATGTATGGAATTCTACCAATGGTGAAAGAGTATCCGAACTGACCATCAGTTTCTCTAAAGCTAAAGGCAAATATATTGCTAGAAGTTGTAGGTAAGTTTGGTATAACATGCTATACAATCTCTATTTCTTTACTAATGATCCTTACTCTTTAAAAACATGCATATTATTGTATTACAATCGTTTGTGTCATGTTTGATGCAATAATTTAAAATTAAGGCACGCAATAAGTTTAATGGGCTTTATATTGCTCGTAGATTTGGTACAGCCGTAGGAGCTACTGAGAGCCTTTATACCGTTCACAATCCCTTATCTAGTAGTAGCAAGGGTGCATGTTACTTAGTAAAATGGAATGCTGATGATTATCACCCTTTAAAATACAGAGCTATTGGAGCTGAACGTGCTACGAAAATGGTGATCAGGTTATTAGAAAAGTTATTTATGATTATGTTTGATTCTGACTTGTGATAATAGTGATCTTATAAAGTTATTGCACCCTTCCTTACAGTAACGATGGGCATTTTCTTGGCCTTGGCACTTCCGAGGGAAGTGTTTTGATTTGTACAACGTTTAACTTGAAAGTAAGCCTGGACATACGGCCTCATCTTATACTCGATCAGCGTAACTTGAATGTTTTCTTTGTGTGGTGATTTTTTTGACCAATTCAGAAATTTTCTACTTTTAGACTATTATTCGAGTTCCAAACGCTCATGCTTCGGTGATTACAGGCCTAACGTTCAGCAAATGTACATCTGAGGCCCGCGAACTTGTCGATAGTGATATTGCTTTAATAAGTATATCAATAGACAAGAATTTCTGTATAACAACTTTACCCAAAAGAAGTAAGCAATAATTGAGTTGTGAAATAGAATGATGAAATAATTGTAATATTAATTAATATTATTTCAATTGTCCTTTAGGAGAAATAAGTATCGTTTTCCTCATTTTGGTTGTAATCATTGCCATTTACATTGCATTTAGCTACATGGCCTATTTGGGTATCTAATAATGCAATTCATTTTGTACTGCTGTGTGTTAATTTCGACTGCAAGTTGGTCAATCTGAGCTATTTGAAAATATATTATTGTGTCAAGGCCAACTAATGCAGTACGAACCTGGTTTATATACATTAGAACTGCATAGTAGGCGCTATGATATTATGCTTATACTGCATACCTACAGTGCGAGTTCTACAGATTAATTTCTAGTGGTTTTTTTACGGGAACCTTGATCTATTGATATTCTAGAGTATACCATGGTTATATACTTTAAGTAGACGAAATGCATAAAATTATGCCAGTTATTGAGCATTCGCAGATATATAGTTTAAACTGAAATTTTATTCACTGTACAGTCTTCTACAATTTAGCTTAGTCCTCATCTGGGCTATCATCGCCATCGATTTGTAGATTCTCCCTTTCAAATTGTTCCATCTGTTTGACCAGTTCTGCGTCATCAGTTTCAGTGACCACTTTAGGCTGCAGGATAACAGATTGACATGGTTAATACAATTACAATTACAAAGATTTACTTTACTCTCTATCATAAAGAAAGTTTCTACCTATGCACAAACATAAGTTATCCTTAATAAAATTATATTGTCTTAAATAAAAAATTCATCCTTCAGTCGTTCTAATTCGAATCTTTCACACAATAAAAACACGTATCTTACCGCCATTTGAACATTAAATTGCCCTTCCTTTTGTTTAATTGCTAACTCGATAGCTTTAATAGCGTCTTCAACTATTTTTACGCCTTCGGTTTTATCCATCGTTTGAGCTGATACCACATATAACGGTGGAGCGATCAAATTAATCTAGATTTCAATTAAGCAGTTCATTTTAGAGCATGACTAGACAGGTGTAGCAAAACAGTTTGAATTAATAATCGGAGTAACTATGAGAACATGTCCTATTTAATTTCCAAGCGACGACATTAATAACTAAAATTGTATTTTCATGATAGCACTTTCGTCCATTCGCTTTACGTGCAAATTTTATCATAGGCTTTTAAAATCTCAGAATTCTAAATGTCCACGGTGATACAGAGAGTAATATTTCGTCACAGAAATAAGATTGGAAACTATCTTAATGATGCTATTCTAGTGATATCTGTGATAGAGATTAATGAAGTAGTTATTTCCAACCTTTATAGGTACTTCTGTAGTGCTCTTCTCGAGGCCAGCATGTAAAGCTGCCTTAACGGCTTCAACGCCTTCATAAGTGTAGCAAGTAACTTCAATGTCAGCTCTAACTTTAACTTTTTGAGGGCTAAGTCTTCTAGCTATATGATTTATTAAGCATTCCTTGACATCATCATCCAAGTCAAGTTGATCGACGATACTGGTATCACTAATATAGAAAGGAATAATGGCTCAAGTTTAAATAACCCATTTTACCTGTTTCAACCATACCAAATGAAATTGTTGATTGATGATGTAACGTTTATGAAAGGTAATGCATAAATAGTGATATCATTGATTATTTCCGTTGTTATTAAAAAGTTACCTTATAGCACGTTTAAAGTATTCATAACCAACTCCGGGCTTCTTATCCCTCTCATCAAAATACCAAGCTGATTTAGTGTATAGTTCTTCTAATTGCTCGTTTGTTTCATAATTTAGTGATTGAGCTACGTTACGTAGGATGCTATTAACCTGCAATACAATTCATGTATGTAGGTAAAAGTGAATTAGAGATATTTGAATTGAAATAAGAAATTGATCTCCATTTCAAGTATACAATTACAAAATGACCATTTTGGGCTTACCACTTTAGCTTTAGCAAATTTTTCTTCGCATTTTTTCACTTCTTCCGGTGATACTCGACGCTTGGATAAATCAATATATCCTTTCTCTTTATCAACACGAATTACAACTACGCATTCGTTACGACCAATGCGGATCAACTTATTGACGGAACGAATTCGACGGCGTGATAATTCACTTAATAAAATCATTCCTTCGATGTTGTTATATTCCAGTAAATTCACATAAGCCCCCATTTCTGCAATTGAGCGAACATTAACCATGACAACATCTTCCACTTCAGGAAATTTATTGGAGTAGTAACGACACGAGAGCGGCATTTTTCTTTTTCTAACGGAGTTAAGTTTTATCAGAACAAAATAAGACGGAGCATTTTCAATTGAATAGACTTATTGCTATCCAATAAAGTCTACTACGCTATTACCAAGGTACTTACCAGTGATTTAAAGGTTGTAAAAGTAAATGAAGGCTGTCTTTCCAACACAAGGTGAAGATTTCCCACGTCCAAGCAAAGCACGACTTCCAGCATGTGAAAACGGAGCTTTGTGGCATTCACCTGCTTCTGGAGAATCGCATACTAGACATAAGAATGTGTAGTATGGTACTGTACCATATCCTACTGTGTCTAAAACCGGCGATCATTTTGTTGAGTTCTACTAAATTTAGTAGTCCAAGACTGTTTCAGTTCGCTTACAGTAGTATGTACTGTAAATACTAGAGTACAGTGTACTGTACTCTAGCTTTTGCTTTGTACGGTACCATACCGTACAGTGTACAGTACTGCTTTCTTATTTCCTTTCCTGTACCGTACTGTACCGTACTGTACAGTACAGTACTATACAGTACTGTACTGTACTGTACAGTACAGTACTACAGTATACTGTACTGTACTATACAGTACTGTACTGTACAGTACAGTACTATGCTGTACTACAGTATACTGTACTGGATTATACTGTACTGGACTGTGCGGCACGCTGGGCTGAGAATTCTCATTGCATTTATTACTCACTTGATTACCAATTTGATTATTATTATTTTATTATTATTATCATTATTATTATTCACTGTAAAGTACAAAATCTGCGACTCCGGTGCACTTTCTATTGCCTTTCATGGTATGTAAGTTAGAGTAAAAGTGATGCCTAGATGGAGTGTAATGTTGGATGATAGATAGATAGATTAGTACAGTAGATACGGTAGATTGCGTTTTTCCATGTTTATTCTAGCTAGAGTAAAAGTGATGCCTAGATGGAGTGCAATATTGGATGATAGATAGATGGATTAGTACTTTAGTAGATACGGTAGATTGCGTTTTTCCATGTTTGTTCTAGCTAGAGTAAAAGTGATGCCTAGATGGAGTGCAATGTTGGATGATAGATAGATTAGTACAGTAGATACAGTAGATTGCGTTTTTCCATGTTTATTCTAGCTAGAGTAAAAGTGATGCCTAGATGGAGTGCAATGTTGGATGATAGATTGATAGATTAGTACAGTAGATACGGTAGATTGCGTTTTTCCATGTTTATTCTAGCTAGAGTAAAAGTGATGCCTAGATGGAGTGCAATATTGGATGATAGATAGATGGATTAGTACTTTAGTAGATACGGTAGATTGCGTTTTTCCATGTTTGTTCTAGCTAGAGTAAAAGTGATGCCTAGATGGAGTGCAATGTTGGATGATAGATAGATTAGTACAGTAGATACAGTAGATTGCGTTTTTCCATGTTTATTCTAGCTAGAGTAAAAGTGATGCCTAGATGGAGTGCAATGTTGGATGATAGATTGATAGATTAGTACAGTAGATACGGAAGATTGCGTTTTTCCATGTTTATTCTAGCTAGAGTAAAAGTGATGCCTAGATGGAGTGCAATGTTGGATGATAGATTGATAGATTAGTACTTTAGTAGATATGGTAGATTGCGTTTTCCATGTTTGTTCTAGCTAGAGTAAAAGTGATGCCTAGATGGAGTGCAATGTTTGGATGATCCATGTGATGCGCTTCTTCAATCGAGCACTGTGCAGCACGAGTATACACGAATTTTGTACATTGTACAGGATATGCATGCTGCTGTTACGTACAGTAGAATGTACAACGGTGAATCTGTCCATTTTGTGGTAGATGCTACAGAAGTAGCTCGAGCTTTGGAAATGCGATTTACCATATCTAGCGCTGACGGCACAGTATTTTACTGTGATTTGCTATCAAGTTTTAGTAAAGCTAGCAATTGTGACAAGTCAAGTCTCGCTAAGTAGATTGTAAACTTTCCTCGCTGGCAATGTATTTATAATTATAATTACAATTACTATTACGCATACACTGCACTTCATGATAATAGTAGACTTTTATTGTGTGGTAGTATGTTTTACAATTAATTTTTACCATCACGGTATGGGTATTTTTGCTGTGTACCAGGAATGAGTTACTCTTGCATGATATAGTAAAAATTAGGTTAAGAAATGAGTTCATTCGTAACTGCCTATGATTAATTATATGTAATTATTATTGTGAATTCTGAAATCAGGGAAATATTTTGCTACTGTCTTGTACAGTATATAATAGAGTTCGCCAAGTAGTATCTCTCGTAAATATGGAATTGAATACCTGCTACATAACTGATATGTGCTGTATACTTCGTAGCTCTACAGTATGCACAATGACAATTTACCTGCATGCAGATACATGCAAAATATTGCATTTTGCACTGAGGTAGAGCACTGCTGCAGTTTGATAATTTATGGAATATCGTTACATGCCATCGTTTATTGGAATCAGCATGAATCGTATATGATAGCTTCATGATGCTAGATCCATTTGGCGCGTAGGGATATTTTAGTGTATGCACAGTACTATTTGATATGTATTTGTATCGGAATAAATTAACGTAAATCTTTATATTATTTATAGGTTATACACACGGTGTAGTTTTTCAACCTAAAAAATGAGTCAAAAGGGTGGCTGGATGGACCCGGCCAATAATCCATGTACCGAAGTCAGTTTCGTATAGTAGATTTACCTCTACTTGACTAATTATAGCGAAACAAAAATACTGTAGATACGCTGTTTCATTAAACGTAAAGATATCTGAGATGTCTGTTTGATGATACTGCATTTGAAATAGGTTGTTAATATGTATTTTAAATCAAGTGATTTTTACCGTAGAAATAGGCTGATGGATGCGCAGCGAATTATAATAAGCTATTTTCTTTTCTTATGACTTTTTTATATGTACATGCCTCAGGAGGCGAAAGCATCGTACAAATGTCTAGATGTAAATAATTATGATAAATCAATGTGTCAAGAGTTTTTCGATGCATACAAAGATTGCAAGCGGCAATGGGTTTGTATCCCTTTAGTTCGATAGTAGTGCCTTTCGATACACAGTTGGCATGTAGATTGAATATTGTGATATTCACCTTTGATATCAGACTTTGTAGTAGCTATATACGATTACTACAACTTATGTTATGCTTGATCTGCTTCCAGAATGCAAGAAAAGCTGAAGAACGGAGACGAAAGTTCCAGTCGTCGTGAAATTGCTGGTTTTTCATCCAAAATATCGTATTGAGTCTAGTAGTGAATAGCCTGCAGTCTGCATTATTACTATCGCTTGTCAAGAGGTTCATTATAAAATTAAGAAAGTTGATATCGATACGGTTTAAATGATATAGCAGTAGGTAGCGATATTTGCTACCTTCAACATATCGGACGATATATGCTATTTTACAGTATATAGCAATTCCGTCCTTTGTACTGCTGTAGCTAATTAATTTAAATTATTAAAGCACTTGTTTATGATCATAAATGAAGATGCATATATAAATTTAGAAAGATACAAGTACATAAGCCAATTTTGAAATTAGATCTGTTTAATACACAATGGAGGTAGCAAACGTACATTCTTTCCCTTGAAAAATTCAACTTACTTTGAATAATATCAACACTATATATTATATACGTATTTTGATATAATATTCAAGGCACTAGCTGAAATACGTTGTACCAGTATATCAATTAATTAATCAAATTAAACATACGATCGAATGTCAACTCATTGCTGCAATTAACATCATTAGCGTTCCGTTTAAATGACATCAAAATAATGAAAAAAATATTACAGCATTATAATGTTTGTCGTGATCAAAAGAATTTACCTTGTGTACTATTTTAAACTTCGAGAAAAATTACCGTGAGCTCTTGACAATTGAAGGCAACTTAGACTGGAATAAAAATCCTTCAAAATAGCTTCGAAAATGTGATACTAGGAATAAATATCGCCGGTAGCAAAGTATATACGGAAGTTATCAGTATACTACAGAAGACAAAGGTAAAGCTATTTGCAGTGTTATAACACAACTAATATATGAAAGGAATTAAGGCTTTCCTTTGGGATGGATAATCAGCAAATCGTTCTTTGTACCTGCAAATATGCGGTACAGTTAAGAATAGTGCATGATATTAATTTTACAAAAATAGTAATATGCATAGAGTTTTACCATCGGTGATTATGTCTCGCTCTAGGGATGAATGTTGCACAGCAGAAACAGAACCAAGCTAAACCTCCTAATGAAAATGTCCCGACGGCCCTATGTTATGCAGTACATTAATAGTTTGTTATGAGTGCAAACAGTGTAAGTATAATGAGCGGGTTTTTAATTTGGAAGGGGATATAAATTCATATAATAAGAAACTAATAATTATATACGAGTATATATAGAACTAAAAATTTATTAATAAGGACTAAGACTAAGGCGTTGGTAGTGTAACGAAAGCCTGTAAACAAATACTGTAGTGAAGGTATGAGCCTAGTTAAGTATTAACAGTTCTTACCAGCCCATCCATTCAATCATTTCTCCAAAATAATTTGGGCACGATATGTAATTAAATAATCCTCCACTAGGAATAACGTATCCTTGATCTGTATAAAGAAATTCCAAAAGGAACGTGAGATTATCTTTACAACACATCTTAACACCTATTATTCATGAAAATTCTATTTATGAATATAAACATGGCATTGATCTGCCCAATTGACATACTTTCTCGACGTAAATTTCTTAGCTTAAGATCAGCATAACGATTTATAATAAATCCAATGATAAATAGTAGGATACCAATAATAAATCTAGGGTCGCTATTATTTTTAGAGATGATCATTGAGCGAGTAGAGTTACAAAAATCGTTTTTATAGACATGATATATTCGTATAACCTGTAATATTGATTATAGTAAAGAGCTGAACTGATCCAACTTGCATTGATGAATGAAAAAATAGCGTTGGGTATAAGTCCACCAAGTGTAATGCTAAAGGTTAAACGAAATAGTAATTACGCTTGTTAGTTATGGTATGCCAAATTTTTTATCGCTATTGATTTCCTTACCCTAACGGGGTAGTTTTGGAGCTATAACGCATTATCCATGGGTGTATTAGGCCTCTATAATCGATTTTCATATAGAATTAGTACTGCTTTTATTATTATTGGCAGAAAATGATCTAATCGTGCCACTTATTGTGTCGTCAATCAGTTATTATTAACTTGACTTATGGTTGTATTTAAGACAGAACTATATATCTGATCTATGTATTTATGTAGATGCTGTATATGCGCTTAAACATGACATTCCTACACCGTACGTCATGATGAAAATTGTTGTGTTTTACAGTTGCATAATGTACAATTTGAACACGCAAATATCATGATCATGAGCTAGTAACTGTAAAGGATAAACATGACGTGAACGAATTTGTTAAGTAACATAAGGGTGAGATAGTTTAATCAGACTAATAACATAAAAAAGATGGAGAATAAGTGATAAATGAGTGTTTGCTTGTAGTTGCACTATGAAGCAGAAAATTGAGAACCGAATTGAATACTGTAAATGTTCGTATCTACTTAGTACATGTAAGTCTACTTTAACAGATTAATTGGTGAGATAGTTTAATTAGACTAATGATATAAAAAAAATGGAGAATAGGTGATAAATGAGAGTTTGCTTGTAGTTGCACTATAAAGCAGAAAATTGAGGACCGAATTGCATACTGTAAATGTTTGTATCTACTTGTACATTTACGTCTACTTTAACAGATTGATAGACTGGTATAATACCTATGAATGTAATGTAATTGCCATAATATCATGAAGACAAGATTGGTATAATGGTATTGGTTTCTTCCGTACAGAAAATACACCTATACATACAGTATATAAAACAATACGTAGATCAGTAATATGAATGTATTTATTGATCAAAGATTACTTTAACCAAGGTAAATAAGACAAAATGAAAATTATATATTTGCAGCTTTCATTCAGGATTGCTAGTCAAGAGTTATCATTGTTGTGGTCATTTTCATGACCAATAATCGATTAATTGATCCCACCAACTTACTTTATCGGTTAGTGAGTAGGTCATGATTGGAAACTATACTCGTACGAATCTATCATTGGTGTAACTATGGCTTTCGTGGCTGCGAGAGTAAAAGTTAGTCGGATGAAAGCTATCAGTGGGCACGATTGTACGGTATGTTTGACTATCGATGGATTTTTAGAATTGACTGATGAATTCCTTACAATTAATTCATTCTTACCAGTAGAAATTCAACTACACATGGTAAAGCATCGGATATGGTATGGCCTAATCGTTGTGGAATAACGGGTCCCCAATTGTTGGGATTATTATCGTTATTGCCGAAACGTCCATAAGGAGCAGGTTTAATCAACTGTGTTATTAATGTAATGAGAGCGAATACAAAGCCACCAATAACAAAACCATAATAAATCCAAAATCGTACAGGATTATTCAGAAAAGCCACCCAAGGCCAAACAGGAATCATCTCGATATAATTGAATTTTAATTGAAAGTGAATGTTTGGTAAATTGTTGACTGTCGATCAATAGTAGTCGCTGCGATTTCATGTACTTTAGATTGAAATCATCGCCTGGCGCTCGTTACTACTAGGTACCAGTGATGTTCACTTGCTTGTTCTATGTTTAATTGTGCTGTTCTTATAATAGTATGAATGATATGTGATAGAAAGATGGTAATCCGATGTAGAAATAGCAAGAGCAATAACGAATAGATTTACTGGTATGTTGTGTTGTTGTGGAAATGAACGGTGATACAGATTCATATCGTATTTTTCAATACAGACTTATATACTCAGTACTGGGCCCGGCCCGATCGTGATGGAAATAAACAACGATACAGACTCATACAGTTCTCTATTTCCAATACATACTCGTATAGGCAGTGGCCGTACATTGTACAGTATAAACGTATAGTAGTGCAATATGGCGAAGGGCCATGAGTGTGAAGAAGTTTTCTGCTAGTACAATATGGAAGACGAATAAGATCATTGATGGAGTATACTATACTGTATATCGCTTATAGAAGTACTGTAGTGAAATTTTATCAACTGCTTCAGAAATTCGGAGAGGAAGAAATATACAAACACCCAGCACAAAATGTTTGTTCGAAGGTTCGTCTAACTTGGTTGAAATTGACCCAACGCCGGTATACTTTAGTGTGAAGTAGTTGGGATTGAGTTTCCTTGGAATAAAATCATAAAATCATGAATGGAGTATACTGTACAGTATATCGCTTATAGAAGCACTGTAGTGAAATTTTATCAACTGCTTCAGAAATTCAGATTGGAAGAAATGTACAAACACCCAGCACAAAATGTTTGTTCGAAGGTTCGTCTAACTTGGCTGAAATTGACCCAACGCCGGTATACTGTAGTGTGAAGTAGTTGGGATTGAGTTTTCTTGGAATAAAATCATAAAATCATGAATGGAGTATACTGTATATCGCTTATAGAAGCACTGTCGTGAAATTTTATCAACTGCTTCAGAAATTCGGATAGGAAGGAATATACAGTACAAACATCCTGCACAAAATGTTTGTTCGAAGGTTCGCCTAACTACATTGAAATTGAGCCAACGCCGGTAGTGTGAAATAGTCGGGAATGAATTTTTCTTCAATTGCAACATTAATCTTTCATTCATGCAGGTATATCACTTATACAGTACTATACTAAAATTGTATCAGCTATTATCCACTACAAAAGTTTGGGATAGGAAGGAATATACAAACACTCTGTACAACATCTATGTTCGAAAATTCGCACATCTTCATTATAGTGTGAAATAGTCGGGAATGAATTTTTCTTCAATTGCAACATTAATCTTTCAATCATGCAGGTATATCACTTATACAGTACTGTACTGAAATTGTATCAGCTATTATCCATAACAAAAGTTTGGGATAGGAAGGAATATACAAACACCCTCACCCTGTACAACATCTTTGTTCCAAGATCTGCACATCTTCATTGATATTGACCAACGCCGGAATAGTGTGAACTACTTGGGAATGAATTTTTTCTTCCATTGGATCACACATTGCACAGCAATGGTCAACATTACCTAACTTCAGATGGCTAGTTGAGCTAGCCTAGGCTTTCATAGCAAAAAAGCGCATGAAAGTTGACGTTTTTAATAAGCATTGGCTTAATTTTTACAATCATTCCATTTGGTATCGTGGTGATGCTAAAATCCAAACTCAGATGACCAGTTGAGCTAGCCTAGGCTTTCATAGCAAAAATGCGCATGGAAGTTGATGTTTTTAATAAGCATTGGCTTAATTAATTCTTAGAATCATTCTATTTGGTATCGTGGTGATGCTAAAATCCAAACTCAGATGACTAGTTGAGCTAGCCTAGGCTTTCATAGCAAAAATGCGCATGGAAGTTGATGTTTTCAATAAGCATTGGCTTAATTAATTTTTACAATCATTCTATTTGGTATCGTGGTGATGATAAAATCCAAACTCAGATGACCAGTTGAGCTAGCCTAGGCTTTCATAGCAAAAAAGCGCATGAAAGTTGACGTTTTTAATAAGCATTGGCTTAATTTTTACAATCATTCCATTTGGTATCGTGGTGATGATGAAATCCAAACTCAGATGACCAGTTGAGCTAGCCTAGGCTTTCATAGCAAAAATGCGCATGGAAGTTGATGTTTTTAATAAGCATTGGCTTAATTAATTTTTAGAATCATTCTATTTGATATCGTGGTGATGATAAAATCCAAACTCAGATGACCAGTTGAGCTAGCCTAGGCTTTCATAGCAAAAATGCGCATGGAAGTTGATGTTTTTAATAAGCATTAGCTCAATTTTACAATCATTCCATTTGGTATCGTGGTGATGATAAAATCCAAACTCAGATGACCAGTTGAGCTAGCCTAGGTTTTCATAGCAAAAATGCGCATGGAAGTTGATGTTTTTAATAAGCATTAGCTCAATTTTACAATCATTCCATTTGGTATCGAGGCGATGCTAAAATTCAAACGTCTACAGAATTGAATGCCTTCATTTTTACACTCTAGTATCGCCTAATGTCCGTTTCCTTTATTTGCTTTTTTCAAAATTTCAAGTCTCAAACTACTACCACATGAACAGTGGTAGCTATACCATCTTGTAGTTCCTTTTTTTTAAAATGAATTCTCCATTTACCTCTATAAAAAGTGCAGCAGAGGTGAGAAGATGATGGAGGAAAGAGAATTCCGATGAGTATGACGTCATTTTGTGGACACCTTGATACACAGTACAGTACTGTCTAGGCGAATAAGTGTTTCAGTATTGCACTTCTATAAGGAGAGTATACAGTTCCCAAGACCTTAAACGTGACTGGTCAAATACAACATTTATAGTAGCGTAAACTGTTGCCATAGAGAGAATTATTATCCACCATCAAGTGCTGGAAGGCAAAGACATCAGCTTAAGTTTTAACCCTTGTCAACACTCCAGATTGATTTGGAGACGTTAAAGATCCAAGAGAAAGATCATTTATACAGGTGAAAGTGATCTAATTACTGTTGTTATCGTTTAACCAGATTGACTGCAACATCATCATCATCACACGTATCCAAGATGGAGGCAATGCATCCGGCTATTCCGGGCGACACCGTCATTCGTGGAGTTATCCCTTTTGCAGTGGTTTCCTTAGTGAGTTTCGCGATCGCAATCTTTCATTTCCAATCCAAGAGTACAGTATAGAGTAATATTCAGTTAGTAGAGTAATTCATATAGCCTTCCTATTCAAGTAGTTTAGAGTAAGAGAAGAAAAGGATGAAAATAAAAACCTGTAGACCAAATGATTGCGAGCTAATTTGATCTTTACTACTTTTTGACAGTTGGCTGTACTCTTCTCCTTCTTCTATACACGTTATTACTTACGTAGAAGAGAGTCGGAAACTTTCTCAACAACCGTTATTATCTTATCCATGAGTATGGCTCTATTGACTAGCCTTCTCCTACCCCTGGATATCTTTTTTGTTTCTTCAATGAAGAATACCGATGGCTCCTATAAGGTAAAATACGTCAACAGTAATCATTCCTACTGTGCATCATCCAGATTAATTAAAAACCTTGACTTATGATAACTATTGAAATGGGTCATGGATAGGATGGAAAGTAATAACAATCTCTATACATACTGTAGAAATTGATTGTACTATAAGGATGGAAAATAGAAACGTTAACTTGTAATGACTGTTGAAATAGGTCAAGACAGGATGGAGAGTAATAACAATCTCTATACATACTGTAGAAATCGATTGTACATTAAGGATGGAAAATAGAAACGTTAACTTGTAATGACTATTGAAATAGGTCAAGACAGGATGGAGAGTAATAACAATCTCTATACATACTGTAGAAATCGATTGTACATTAAGGATGGAAAATAGAAACGTTAACTTGTAATGACTGTTGAAATAGGTCAAGACAGGATCGAGAGTAATAACAATCTCTATACATACTGTAGAAATCGATTGTACATTAAGGATGGAAAATAGAAACGTACTTCTAATGACTGTTGAAATGGGTCATAGATAGGATATAAAGTAATAACAATCTCTATACATCCTATAGAAATCGATTGTACATTAAAGATGAAAAATAAAAACTGAATAGTATAGAACAAGTCTCTAAATAATCCAAAATCGATCGCCCATTTACACTTAACATTAGTAAAATAGTCCTTTGATTGGATAATAGCTGAATTGAATATCTAAAGTCACTGCTGATTGCTGCTGATGGTTAAGGTAACCTTGTATTATAAATGAATTAGTTTGAAAATGAGTAATGGGCGTGCGTTAAAGGAGCAGTCTGTAGAGAGATATACATTATCGATTAAATTTAGATTAAAGCGACAAAATGCACGAGTAAAAGTAGTCTTTTAATGATTGAAAAATTAATATCAATTTATATGCAGGATTATAAAGCAGTAAAATGACTTTTGATAACAACTAGAGCTACTGCAGATAATCGAGGCAATAATGAATTATAATTAATGGTTAATAATCTTTAAAATGAGTGATGAATATAAATTAATGAAAGTAACAATCTACCTAGATAAAAATATCGATCATACATTGATAAATTGTGCCGCTAGAAGTAGCCTGGCAATGACTATTCAAATTATTCTTAAATATATGTTGTATTAGATAAGGTGTTAATCAAAGTCTATTGGTAGTTTTATCACTTTAGAAGTGAGCTAATAATAAAATGGACAGGCAGACGGAATCTTTCCATGATCTAGAATCAAATCACCTTTTGCACTTAGGAAGCAGTAAATTACTCCTACTAATAGGATAAGGAATCAATCGTAGCTTAGTGCTAATTTTTTCATTTTGAGAATGACCTCAACATGGTGCTGTATACGAGTATTGGTAGTTTACGTACATACTATAATTACTATCTGATACTGTTTATTCTATTATTCTTAGTCATGGGCAAAAGACGAGAAAACGAGAGATCACATCGAAAACACTATTGCTATTGCTTATTACGGTAAGGAAAATTACGTCAATAAGAACATCGGTATGAAGTTTACCAGAAATAAACATGCTATGTTACTCTATACAACTGCTTTGACAATATCTGCTACTGTAAGATTGACGTACAAGTTTAATAAAATAGGTTAATATGTATCTCAATGTAATGAAATGTAGCAGCTAATAGTCCTAATGTCTACGTTTCGATGCTGTAGCAAAATCTATAGTTATCATTATAATTAGTACTACTTTTACATTGAAATCTTGTTACTTTGATTTACTTATTTACCTTGACAACATTTTAAATACTATAGATTACTGTATTATTTTTATCGATGATAGTTGAATACATTAATAGCCTTTCTTAATCTTTCTGCTTATCATTGGTGAATAGTGGCTTATGGGCTGGTCATTGCTTTTGCTTTCATAATCCTACCGTTTACGTACTTTTATTATGAAGAAGACGATGAAGATGCAACTGTGTCATCGGTACAGTAATAGTGATAAATAAGTATATTGACGTTAGAATTTCTTGAAAGGGATTTTACTTGCTTTTCATGATATTGACTTGATGACTTAGCAACTATCATCATGTACTATATCAGCGAAACTAAACAGAATTTTTCAATTACATTTTCGAAACGGAATAATCCATTGTTAGAGAATGTGTGGAGCTTCGAAATACACGTTTGGCTTTCTGTTGGTAGCTATAGCATTGCTGCTGATTGGGTATGCTTATACTGATTAAAGCAGATTGCGAAATATTCTAATTTCTAATTTATAGTTTGCTAACGAGATTGCCAGTTTTGAAGATATAAGCAATTCATAAATAAATCAACTAAATTCTCTCATCGTATCGATAGTGCTTTCATTCCGCAAAGCAGCCCACCAGCTAATGCTACTAGATTCGATGAACGATTAAAATTTCTATTTGATGAGTTTGCTACCAATGGTAAGGTGATGTAGATTATGATCCAATAGATATCTTTACAGAAATTTTTGTAACTGATTGTTCCCCGTTATTAATATATTCTAATATTTATCTCATAGTCATTACGGCTAGAATTGCATACTATTACTGTATTATTATTAGTAATTTCTTAAATTGTTACACAAACTAGGAATAGAAAGAGGTCTGTCATTTACTATTGGATGTTTAACAGTCTTGGGAATGCTGTTAATGGTATTGTATACAGTAAGTCAATGCAATGAAACAGCCGTTCTAACTCAACTTAAAAAGTTAAATCTTCTTTAATGCTATAGAAATGACTTTGATTATTTTAAAACTGTGTAGGCTTACGGAATGACCTCCTTACCCTTTGATCTGATGATTGGTTCTCCATCGGTAAGGCTTAATTGATTCTTATAGAAGTAGTATGAAATAGTAATTAAATTATCATGACACATCTAAAAATGAAAGACATCACCAATCATCCTGGCATGTTTCTTACATAGCTTAATGCAAATTCATTTGATTACGAAACTGAAGTAATTAATGAACAAACACGATTGCTTCAAGCAAAGGTAAACATATCTAATATGGAAATATTGGATTTGATAAAAATTACTTAATTTCATAATGATTCTACTAAGATGCAAAACAATACCGGAAAGTCATATCAAGAAAGAAGGCGTTTAGATGAATTGGAGCAGGCGAGAAGGTATGACAATTGCTAATGATAAAAGAATAAATTAAATCTACCGAACACAATTTCCAGCCAATATCGTATTTAGGATTTAATATTGTCTAACTAAAATTTTTTGCGGTTTCATTTTTTTGCACTTCAGAACTGTAGATAGGAGACGAAGTCAAATGGAAGCGAACCAAAATAGTTGGTTTGCAAAAATTGCGTGTATTTGGAGACCGTTTCAGGTATTTACTATTCATTGATTGCCATTAGCTCTACTTTGATATTGCAACTTGAGAATATAAAGTGTACATTACATATTTAGATATTAGCTGGAATCTTGTTATTACTCCTATCTTTGCTGCTATTTTCGACGTTGCTAATTACAAGGTTTGGGATGTGCTCGTGGTGATAGATCTTAATTGATTCTCTAACTTTGTCTATGAGATATTAAATCGTATTCTTTAAAATCATTTTGTGAAGTATCGATCGCATTTTGCATTCACTTGGATGGAAGACAGGATATGCATTACCGAAGCCGACGATTACTAATCCTATTGATGTGACCATGACTTTTTTTCAAGAGGTATAAATATTACTTTGAAAATCTATTTAAGCTGGCTAATAGGGGAAAAATTCACTCATGACTTTACTATGTATCAATTATAGGTTTATCCACTGGATTATATATTTTTCTTATCGATCTTGTTGTATGTGTTTCTGAGCTCCGTATCTGGTATCCGAAAAATAGGGATACGATTTTGTTGTATAAAAGTAAGGAAGACTAAATATCTTTTACCGTTACAACCAATGAGTCTTGTAGTTGATTAATAGCTGTATCCTCCTATCTTACATTATAGGCTTATCGAATTCATCCTGGCAGGACAACTACACAAGCGATGCTGTTTATGTGCTTTTTTCTAGTATTAATTGTTTTAAGTTTAAACGTGGTCATGTACACAATTGCGCCACGCTATGTTACCTTTGGAAGTCAGCATTACCTGGTACGTTATGGATAGCACTACTATTTACTTTTTCCAGGATGTTTTCACTATAATCTGTGATTTTTATTTGATGTGCATTTTCATCTGCCGCTAATTGATTATACTTAAAAACTGTCATTGTAGGGGAATAGTAGCTATACGTCTGATAATTATAATATGACGCAAATCCTAACTACGCAGAAATGTACCTTGGAAGCAGCTAACGGTAAATGAATTATAATGCTGCCATCAGCATTACTTACAGTAATTTTAACGTAATAATTGATTTATCACTTATAAATAAACAGCTCCTAATAGAAGATTTTACTTCTATTCTAGAGGCGTGCGTTGAAACTCGGACCGTCATATTGCTATTTCGATTTTGCTATCGTATTTTCGTTTTCGGAATAATTTATTACTGGACAAATTGGGTTTTCCTTGCGGTAAACTTACTACATGAATTATAATTATCGATAGTTATTTCAAAGTAATTTATTGCCTTAATCGGGGAATCATGCTAAAAGCGTAAATTTTACTGCAAAATCTGTAAATTTATCAATTATTTATATATACAAAACATTTGTACGCATTCTGTAGATTTTTATGGTTACGTTTTTAGCAGCATTCGTGCGCTGCAGAAAGCCAAGCGTCACTAGCACATATATTGATGAAGATTCGGATTATGACTCTGACGAAGAATTACTACGAAATTCGTAGCGCTAAAACGGTCATTTTTGAAAACCGCCATGATAGTTAATATATTTACTCATTTTTAGGTATTTATAAAGCTATCAACTTATATGTACAAATAAGTACTGTACTTCCTTCCTTATTCAATATTTTTAGATAATTATTTGTCGAAGTAGCTTGTACTGAAAGGGTCTGAAACTATGTTCTATAAGATGCTATACATATGATGGTATTCATTACGATTAAAGATATAGTTAAGTCTTAGAAAGTACAGTAGTAGCTCTTATATCAATTGATTTGGCTAACTGAATGTAAATATGTTTAGCGTTAAGGAGATTGTCATTATATATGTAGGAGGACATATTTTATATATAACACATAGCAGTATATTTACATAGATTGTAACACCCTAATCTGGAACGTTGTTATAATATCATAAAACATGATATTGTCAGTAATCTATAAATTTCACCACAACAACCAATTTCTTAATGAAAATGAAAAGAATTCAGATACCCCACATAATCCACGTAGTCTCAGGAATGTACCGTAAGTGTGTATCTTTGCCTTCCGATGCTCAACATTGATAATCTTGTCGTACTTGTTGTACAAATTTACTACAGTACTCCTCTACACAAATGATGAAAACAAGAATTAATCTTGAAACGATAACGTCCTTAATGGAATTCTTTATCATTAAATGTCTTGTAAAATTATACACAAATAGGAATAAAACCTGTTGCAAATTCTGGTGTTCCTCTTAAGCGTAGATTTCGATTTTCAAAATAATTCAAAACTATGAAATTGTAAAAACGAGCATTTGTCATTAACTGGATTTGTATCTACACATTACAATATTGTAGACATTAACCAGTAAAGAGCAGCTTTTTATCGCCACTGTTCTGAGCCAATTCCAAGTATTTACGAGCAGACACACTATCACCACGACCAATACTTTCGGTATATTGTAGTGCAGCTAATATCTACAGGAATATAGTAATTGTACAAACTTTAGAAAGTACAAAAACAAAGAACCTGGTAAATATTGTTATCGCATACATACATGTTTCTTCGACAATAAAGTTTCCACTACATCTTCGTTGCATGAAGGTATTCTCTAAAGTAGTATTCAGTAAATTGATCATTCCAAGTATGTTATAAATGAGTAGTTGTAAGTGTTGGTCTGAAATAGATTCAGTTGTACTATTCTACCTTCAGCATATCCATTGCTAGTTGAAATGCGGGAGGATACGCTTTTTCCAATGAAAGTACTAAACATGCCTGATAGAATAACGTTAAAAAATGAATTTTACAGAATTTATAACGGTACATCATTGTGCACTTACCAAAGGTTTTGAATCCGTCAAGATACGGTATTGAAGTAGCTAAGATATCGCACAGATATTGAAATTAGTTTACGTTGCAAATCAGTAGCAAAATTTCAGATACATACCTGATGTAGTTGATAAAAGGATTTGTTTTCGACTATTAAATTTATCAATAATTCGCAAATGCAGTACTAAGAAATATCAATATTAAGAGACAATATGATATAATAAGAAAATTCATAACCGATTTTGTATATTAAAATTGTCAGGATATACACAACTTTTTACCTGTACAGATAAACGACAAAAATTTAGTGACCGGATGTAATCAATGAGTACTGATATCAAAAATTTTCGATTTGCTTTCTATAAAAGACCACATTAGAAATTTATTGAAATAACATTAATAAATAGCACTTTCCAAGCAATTTCTTTATAAATCATCAACTTACTTTATTATCAAGGAATGATGTCAAGACTTTACTGTATAATTCAGACTGGTCTATTTTTACCCTTCTGTAATATAATAAATGACCAAAACATTATTCATTTACAAAAAAAATTACGAAAATATATTTCTGACGTTTATTACCTCTGAGAAGATTTATCAAATATCCCTCTTAACGGATTCTGCTAGGTTAGTTAATTTATAAACCTTAATATTAGTAAACTAATCTTACAGCAGTCACCACAATTATTTAGTAGGAATAAGATCAATACTCGCCAGCTTTGATTCTGTATTGGTTACGGTTTCTTTATAGGCTATATTAATTTGATCAAAAATCGCTGATATTACCTGTAAAGTGTTTTGCTCGCCAGGAGTCAAAGCTAGCACAAGTAAATTTGTTGTAATCATAATAAAATTAGATAAGCGTTTAATAATATTATACCAGTAAAAGAAGCAGCTGTCCGTCAAGTTAACTTAAAAGGGCGTAATACCTTGTTTACACAAGTCGATAATTGGCTCTTTGCCCTTCTTTCTTAGCAATAAAATGTCCAATAGTTGATTCTATATCGGTATGGAAGAAAGGATGAGGGAGATAAGTTCAAACTTTTCAAAGTTTGTAGTCATTAGTTTAGTAATCGAAGCAGTCAACCGTATATACCTTATCAGTTATCATTGTCTCTAATACGTTCAATTTGACATACATCTGCCAAATGCAACCTTGGTGGAACAATTTCATAGAGAATTAACTACAAGGAAGATGAAATATTCACGCCTGTTTATGGTTATCGCTATAGCTACCTAATTTTGCATCAATGACGATATTTGGTTGAAATGTGACCCAACTAGGAGCATCTATTTAAAATAAAAGTGAATGTGAAAAACAAAAAAATGATATTTACACAATTCAAATTAGTTAGATTATAGCTAAATATTCAAAAATGGAATTTACAATGTTCGCAGTTATAAGTTGCGCCTTCCTTAACGCCTCGTACAAGTTCACTACCTAATATTATCAGATAAAATTAAAAGAGCGCCAAAAAATAATATTTGTTTAAGCAGATATTGAAGATATTTAATATCATGAGTACCTAGGAATGTGATACGTGTAGTTTCAATTGGTAAAGGTGCAAGAATTGGAAAAATTGTTGGTATTTGTTCCGGATCATTGATAGAATGAAAGATGTCAAACAACAGCGAAACCTGATACCAATCGAAGAAATGTGCCGTTAACTGGAGTAAATTTATTTTTTTAATTATGAACAAACTATGGGTGGAAAACATACTTTGGCATTTAGATGATGAACCAAAATTAAATTGTCCTATCCAAATATGTCAAAAGTAGAATTAGTCACTGATCCAAAGGCGTTTGTACACGCTTATTGAAGAAATTTAAGCGAGTAATTAATTTTCATAATGATCACTTACAACAATATGCGTAGCGAAACTGCCAGGAATATTTACGCTTAAAATTGCAGCTACTCTTGCAGGGCTATCTCTAACGTAATTAAGGAATAAATATAACCAAATATTCAGTATTCTATTCCTAGCTAAAGTCTATACAGTATTTACATACGATTTCTAAGACTCACTTGTATAAAGCATACATAACTATATCACCAGCTACGCTACCAAGGGAAGGAGCAGACAATGTTACGTTCTGTGAACGAGGTACAGATCTCAAAACAAGAATATAAAGTTGGCCATATCTAAAGATCGGAAACACTTGGACAGTTAGCAAAAATGGTGACCAATATATGGTATTTGTAATCATAGCTTAAAAGAGTAAGCTATAATATACGTACATTACAGTTACAACCACATCTCGTTCTTGCAGTACTTCAGATGTTAAACTTTTCGCTACTTCGAACTTTGGTAATTTGTTAACTTGACCATTCTACGATATAAAAATGTATACATAATCTTAAATAATTGAAATGCGTGCGCGTATAACCCAATTTGAAGTTAATAGTTAAAAACATAACTGACCTGAAACATATAAGGTTGAAGTAACGTGCTACTGGCAGATGACGATACCACTAAAGTGGAGAACCGAGGCTAGTGAATTTAATAATACTTTTTTAGTGATTTTATTTGTAAGAAATTATAAAATTACTAAGTTATTAATAAGCACGTCATCGAAAGTATCTTACTTGGAAGATCGCCCAATTTACATTGATGCTATAAAGTTTCAGTAACTTTACAACATTGCGATCCGGATTAACCTAAAAAAAGAAAGGCATAAATTGATACAACCGATTAGAACGGACTTAGGATTTAATTTATAAAATTGAAGATAACCAATTGACAATCTTACAATTTTTTAAATTAATAGTTAATAGCAAATAAATGAATCATAACAACTACTAGCAGATAAAATGCACTACTAGTACAAGTATACCTTCAGCAGTTTTTTTTAATCTCATTCATAAATAATTTTCTTACCTGATAATATTCAACACTCTGATTGGTAATGAATACAACTTCTGTATTGCTAGTCCAATGGAAGCTGGTAATTTCGGCACGTTGACTCTATGCGTAAATACATACAAAATACGATTATCAATAACGAAATTAGTCCACAAGTTATATCCTAATTCATTTGGATACTTTAACGAGGTCGTTTCACTAAAAGCCTAATTATAGTGTGTCGAACTAAATGAAGTGGAAAGGTAAGGAATTAATCTAAACTTGTAAAATGGCATTTTATGAATTGAAATTAGTATATATTCATATTGTAATAATCATTTTCGTATCGATAATAGTTCAGAATTTAAAATTTCTTTCGTCTACATTTTCTACAGCATATGTTAGTTACATCAATTGATTATGAGATTATTCGTATATGATTGGCCAGAGTTAGAAATATGTATTTTAACAAATTTTGATATGACTAGTCCGCATCTGATGCATACTGCAATAGTAATACTCTACTATTTGTTCGATTACTATAGGATTTAAGCACTCTATCAAAATACTAACTTTACACGTTTGACGATATTCGATATCTTCAAAGTTAAAATTTCTGCAGTTGATGAATGTCTGTAGTGAAAGATAATTTGAAAATAAAATAAAGTTAATCTAGCATCAGTGGTTATTACCTATTCAATGTATCCTGTATTTAAAAAATCAGTCCTGATTATAGAACGGACTATTTATCATTTATTACAACCGTATTATATCATAGCATCAGTATGTGCAATATTAGTACTTTAAACTAGTGTCGAGTACATTAGTTAGGATTATTATGATAGCTAGACTTGTAGTTCAAAATCAGCTGTATGCATACCACCATCTTAGATGAGCGAAGGACAGATAGGATATTTCGATTTGGTGAAAATTTAATAGATTTAATTTGGCTACCATGTTCCAGCCTAGTACAAATTATGCCAATGTATTAGTAACAGACAATATCCTTTATACGTCAACAAAAGCGATGTGTACTACTGCGTAAAGTAACGGATGACTCTTTAATCCATCTAATACAAAAGTAACCATGTAGGGATGATCATTTAAGTTATAGTAGATTCATTTAGCATAATAATGCAATCGTGCAATATTACTTATATTATATAGCATGCCCAGTGCAGCGCCGATGGAATGACTACCTAAATCACTCAATACTAGAGCTAGCTTAAAGAGCGTTCAGTTGATCGTTACAACCCTTATTATCATCATTAAAAGAGTGGTTTATCGTTATGAAAACATCTAGTGCAAGTGGCGTTCATTATACTACTAGAAGGCTTACCACCATCATCAAGCGATTTTATAGCAATCATTTTTAAAATGGATAGAGCTTTACACCCTTAGGAAACTACAGTCACAATCCAGTCCCAAGTGTGCTTCATTGACATAATACTTGTAGTGTAGGCAATTACAGGATATTTCTTAGTATTAAGAGATGATGACTGAATCGTTTTCAAGTTATACTGTATCTGCGTTTTCAGTCAAGTAATAGATCATTCGGAAACTACAGTAACAATGCAGTCCCAAATATGCTTTATTGCCATAATAACGGTAGTATAGTCATGGATTTCGCCGTTGTTGCCCCTTTACTACAGAATATTTCTTGGTATTAAGAGGTGATGACTGAATTGTTTTTCAAGTCATGTCTTCATTTTCGGTCAACTGATTGATCATCGACACGTTCGCTGGTCTGTCAATAGGTCCAGAAAATTTTGACTTCGATTATAAAATAATTACAGTCATATTCTTCCTTCGGAGTAAAGTGGAAGTTAGCAATCGTCTCGTAAGTACGTCATCGAAATCTTTGCTAGTCTGTCCATGATACTGTAGTAATATTCAATACCCATCGTTTCAAAGTACAGTATAAAAAAAATAGTCACCGCTTGGATAATGTATTGTATTCTTCTACAGGTGTAACATATTGAACTGTTGTATTGATCGCTAAGTTCTAATAACGGCATGAGCAAATAGATCATCCATCTTCTCAAGCTACAGTACGTTTTTATAGATGCTATCCACACGTACGCATATACAACGCACAGAAGACATAAAACGATATTGGATGTTGTGATCAGGCTTAATGCATGTTGATACACTTTATATTTGGTAAAATAACATACAAGTATAAAATACAAGCGCTGGATAGTAACACTATAGCATTGCAATCTTACCTAAATTGTACTTCATTTTTACCATGAAGGCTTTTAACAACAACTAAAGCAGAATCATCCTCTTCCCCTCCTTTCCTATCCAGAGTAAATACCTATATTTTAGTTTATTGAAAATATGATGTTAGTTTAGCCATGGAAGAGACAGTAACAAGACGATAAAGTTGCCTAATCTGTCGATCTATTGCATAGCGATACAGTGGGATATACACTAGAGCGTCTACAGTCTGATAAAATTACTTCTTGCTAGCTCAATCCGCATAAGACAAGCGTATGGCAATCCGATTTCGTATACAATCAATCGATCTCTATATTCTACTACTGAGAATAGAGAGCTGTGCCACTCAGTAGCACAACCACTTTTACAGTATTATCCTTATTATGATAGTAGTCTATCACTAAATCGACTTACTTCACCATTGGCTTCATCGAAAAATACATTTGTGTGTTGATTAACCGGAGTAAATCTGATAGGATTGGAAGATAAATATAAGTAATGGCTGGCCATTTTCAGCGATTCGATGGCAACCGAGGAGGCAACAACTGCTGGCTTAGGATCGGTGCAGTCTGGTGCAATTGGAGTGATATTGTCACCCGTTCGCGATTCGCTTAGGACCGGTCCGTCCAGGACGACGTACGACGGACCACTACTGTAGACTGCAAGAAGCCAATAGTACTGTACTGTACACTGTACAGTACTAAATGTACAGTGTACTATACACGATCATTACGACATTGTTTTTGCTCGTAGTTTGTATTATGTGTAGCGCTAGCGCAAAAATAATGTCACTATTATTAATGTACTAAGACAGAGAGAGAGAGAGAACATTATTTTTGCTCGTAGTTTGTACTATGTCTAGCGCTAGCGCAAAAATAATGTCACTGTTATTACCGTACAGAGAGAGAGAGAGAGAGAGCTATCGGTCTGACAGTGATTCTCACTTCTGTATTCCTGATCATGTGTTCCAGCATACAGAATGAGCGCTAAATTGCCTCTGTACAGTTTTGTTATATGAGTTAGTATGGGCACGAGCAAGTAGAACGATCAGGAAAAGGACAAGCTTGTCCATTTTTGGGGCATTGGGGGAGTTAATTAGAGCGATCTGCAATTTTATTATATGAGTTAGTATGGGCATGAGCAAGTAGAACGATCAGGATAAGGACAAGCTTGTCCATTTTTGGGACATTGGGGAGTTAATTAGAGCGATCTGCAGTTTTATTATATGAGTTAGTATGGGCATGAGCAAGTAGAACGATCAGGATAAGGACAAGCTTGTCCATTTTTGGGGCATTGGGAGTTAATTAGAGCGATCTGCAATTTTATTATATGAGTTAGTATGGGCATGAGCAAGTAGAACGATCAGGATAAGGACAAGCTTGTCCATTTTGGGACATTGGGGAGTTAATTAGAGCGATCTGCAGTTTTATTATATGAGTTAGTATGGGCATGAGCAAGTAGAACGATCAGGATAAGGACAAGCTTGTCCATTTTGGGGCATTGGGAGTTAATTAGAGCGATCTGCAATTTTATTATATGAGTTAGTATGGGCATGAGCAAGTAGAACGATCAGGATAAGGACAAGCTTGTCCATTTTGGGACATTGGGGAGTTAATTAGAGCGATCTGCGATCTGATTGACTGTGCTGTAGCCAAGACTATGGCCATCAAAGCTGCAGTACATGAAGGCTAACGTCTATATATACTTCACTAGCAAGTGAACTCCTGTCGAGATGTCCCCAGCTGGCACGATTGCTGTTATGCCCGTTCAGGCACCTGGCTGAACGCTCCAACTTTCTACGGTTGAGAGTGTTAGGTCTACTGTTGACGATGATCAATTTCGATCTCGATAAATCCGTGCAGAATTTAGTGGGCAATTTTGATAATAAAATGGATCAAATTTCATAGGATCCACTTATCGATTGATATCAATTTTACTTCAAATTGATTCATATATGAAGTATTTTATTCCATCCTTAATAATCTGATACCAAATGTTGAGAATAATCATTCAAATAGGTGTGTTAATAATCTGATACCAAATGTCGAGAATAATCATTCAAAATAGGTGTGTCAATAATCTGATAGCAAATGTTGAGAATTATCATTCAAATAGGTGTATCGTTAGTTACACTAATACACAAAGTCCAAAACCGTAGCGTAATGTTATGTCAGATAATTATAATTATAATAGATAAGTTCTAATAATCATAGATTACAAATTATCACCAGGTTATGTTATCAAAACGCTTGTCTGTGTCGTGACTAGTAGCAAAGCGCGAGCTGCATTTTATGAAAGTATCACTAGTCAACCTCAACATCCACCACAATTTATTGGTAGCAGCTCAATAAAGTCAATTAACTGGTAGCAAAGCGCAAGCTGCATTTTATGAAAGTATCATTAGTCAACCTCAAGATCCACCACACCAAATGAATCACACCGTATACTACAGTACTGTATGTAATAATATGTCTTCCTACTTAGAGACTGAGACGAGAGAGAGAGAGATCTGTTTTAGAGAAGAGAAACTTTATTACTCTAAGTCCGGCAGCTACAATGATTAGTAGATAAGTGGGCCATAATATTACATTGTATGCTGAGATACTATACTGCAGCTACAGTAGAAGAAATCTGGTCTTTGGACTACCTTTCTCTTTATGGCTTGGCTGTACCTTGCTCCAATAAAATATCAACATGGAGATGTTTACAGGGACTTTTCATTGTAGCCATCATATACAACATTCAATCTAATAAATGGTGCTGTGCGAGACCTAAGCGAGCTTGATTTCAGTAATAACTTCCACTCCTATTCACAATAGGCTACTGTAGAATGATGTTATCAAGAACTACAGTAGATAGACCGTTCACGATGAGGGAAGGAGCTTCAGTAAGATGTCTGTCCAAGACAGCGGAAATAATTGCAGACCAATAAAGAGACAAGCATGAATTCTGTCAAAAGAAGCATACGCGTATATTAGGCAGATCATTTCGCCAGCATCTCTATAGCGTTATAGAATGTACCAATCATGTTATAACTATCTCCTGGTATATTTACTACCGCGGCACAAAGGGAACAAATTTTCATGCAACTCGTTATGTAAACTAGACAACAACCCGTTCTATAATTGAGTGGAGTGATTTAGCTCCATTACAGTATACTGTAATATAGATGAGCGCGGACCATTAAAGAGACAAGCCAGAAGTTAGTCAAAAAGGAGCATACGTCTATCGTTTCCGACAACCATTTTACAGCATATCGCTATCGGATTCGCCAATCAAGTTATAATTCTATATTCTTGTATACCTATCACACCGACACAAATTTGCGTCCAACTCACGACTGAAGTACACTCTACACAACTATGCTCCATATTCGTTGCCATGGTGCGAAATAAGAGACGGATAAAAAGCTCAAAATGCGGTCATGATACAACCCAACATAGAGATAGTCTGCTAGGTTAGTTTTGCGTAGTATAACGTCGATATTTTAAAGATGTGTTACTGCAGATTATCTAGCATTCTCGTAGTCCATGACTTAAACCTCTCTCGATACTCGCTGTATGCCGTCAAAATTACCCATCAATTCAATGACAGTAACAGTAAAGTATTCACAGTCTCAAGTCAATAGACTTTGTCTTGCAAGACATAATTCTATATTGGATAATCCTTCCTAATTTTCTCAGACAAGTCATACAAAAGGCCATTCTATTCCTTAGTATAAAGAAATAGACATCACCCAATTTACGACTACCTGCATGGATAAATAAAGTAATTAAAGCGGATTTAAATAGTTTCAACGTGGTGTTAGTCAGCTTTACAATAGCAGCATTATGGAAAAAGTATTCTAGGCATCCATGGCAATCGTCTGTAATCCAGTTACCCACAATAATGAGCAACACTGTAGCCTTAATACACATATGCTTTTTCAAATAATACGAATGGATATTGTTTTATAATTTCATTGACAAAAAATAAAAAAAGAGATTGAAAAAGTAAGAATAACCGTCACCTTGTTCATCCTATCTAAGGCTAGAATGACTCAATGTAAATAAATTTGATTTAGAAATAGAAATAGGGGGAGGGGAGGAGAGAAAGGGAAAGAATAAAAGCATCCCGTAAAGTAACCTTCTTATTGAGCTTGCAAGTAAATAAGTCAAATAAAATACGACTCGCATATCCTCATAAATGTTGTCAATAAGAGTTAAATAGGATAAAAATGTGAATAGTCATGCTTTCAATGATGACTAGCAAAGCCAGGTACATGTTATGGAGTCATCATGATAAGATGGCAAACGTATTTGCTCTGACTTGAAAGAATCTTTCGAATCAATATAATTTCGATCAGATGGTCTACCCCATAGGCCTATACCAACTAAATACCTTATTATTATTATATATTGATTACGAAGAGCGAATTGAATACAGCAATAGGACAATGATACATTAATAATTTATTATTCTATTTTCATTCAAAACCATTTTCAATCCTTTCTTCTTTCCCCCCCCCCCAATGCTTGTACTCTCTGATAATCATGAACGATGCGTATCAACAAGAAACGATGTTGTTAAAATAGAGTAGCGTAGGTTCTAATTTAGAATCCAACAAAATGGAAGATTAATAGACCAACTTTTGAATTCAAATCAAGCCTTTCCCTGTACTGAATAACCCTTGGCATAAAATAAGGATATAAAATAACAAAGTGGTTGACAGTTGCGGTCTTTTTTTTTTTCAAATAACTGAAAGCCAATGTATTTTCAACCTAGTATTGATGATTAATAAGGATTCAAATTCCAGTGCAAATGTGGATGGCAAACTAGAGTAGTATCCAATAATATTTCCATCACGGTTAATAACACTATTTTTACAATCACGTTTATATCATTGACTATTATTGGATAGCCTTTTAAAGGAAATCCAACAGCAAAACTATTGCAAATCAATATCATTTGCTTAATAATGATTGGCAGTTAATGAACATGACAGGCTATATAAATTAAAGGAAGAAATGATTTATTTCTGAAACACCAATCAACTGAATCAGATAGATGATACACTTTTTTATTCATCATAGGAATTAAATTGAAATCATTATTAAATAATAAACATATGAACGGAAATGTGCCTAAAAGTCTGGAAAATTTTCACGGTGACTGAGAAACGGAACCTGCAAATCAAGTTTCAATTACATCAGAGAAAGGAATCGCTCTGTTGTATATGTATGCACTGTGCAGTCTTGAAAAGCCGGTCGGCTATTTTTACCGTCTCTAATCTCGGTTAATTCTATTTATACTGTAGTAAAGGTGAAAAAGATTAATTTGGATACAATCTAAAAATAGAAAGTTACTAGATAACTTAGTCGTACTAAAATTATCCTACTGCATAACTGATCTTTCTATACATCGTCTTCTGTATTTATTTTTTGTTTTCATTAGCCAAACTACAGGTAATAAATGACTTCATTAGATAGTAATTAAACTGCCAGAAGTTACGTCAATAACCTTTTAATAACTTGTAATTAAAGAAATTCGATTGCCACTATCATGACTTGATTGATTGTTTTCCAAAAGTAAATGAACCCATGCATTGGTTGCATTGATGCACTTAGTCCTTGTATCTTCTGTTCTTAATTAAGTTAGTTTTATACCGAAGTTGAACGTTCTAACTGATTTACGTAGAAGAGAAGAAAATCAATTTTGAATGAGAACGATTCCTTTTAGCTCAAAGTCTTGACGCTCAATTCATTTATGGCTATTCTATAGTAACAAAAATTTTAACTTCTATTAGAGAGGATATTCAATTTGTGAGTTAGGTAGATTAGACAAATGAGTTCTTATTTCTTATACGTAGACTCGACTGACTTGGTTACGGTATTATTTCTAGTTTAGACGTTTAGAATTTTGTGTTTTATAATGCATACGAAGAATGAATTATGGATGAAATTGTCTACAAACTACAATTTCTCACACATTTTCCAATGTTAAATTATTTGTCGAAATACTTTATTTTTCAACTGAATATAAATAAATAATAAAGTGTAATAGAATCTACAGTACAGAGGATATTTCAATACTTGTATAGAAAATGTTAGTAAGTAATATAAGAATAGATTAATACATTGCACTTAGATGAGTGTGACCCAAGTCACCATATTATTATAGTTGAGCTATATAACATCATAAAATTATATGATAACAGATTGATATGCGGTCGGACATAAGTCATATACGCTAACATATACTCGTATGTACAATATCTATATTAAAAGACAAGAAATGATATGACTAAAGACGGATTTTATAACTGGATTTGATAAACATTCTTCAAAATAAACCACGATCGATTAACATTGCTTAGCGCTGCTATCAACTATCTTCAAAAGAAATTGACTAAGATATACAAATCAATCCGTTATATTCCATCAATTATTAAATAAAATTAAACATTAAACAAAGTAAAACAAATGAAGCAAGTGACTGATTTATGGACATCCTCGATCCTGATAATCCACAGAGATTAAGTTTATTACTTCGATACACATCACAATATTTATATCCGCCGACAATTTTAAAATCAGCTCCATTTAATATCTTGTAATAGAAGGTTTAAAGTATACTTAGTTCTAGCTATCAAGTACCTTTAAGTAGTTGGAATATGGACATTATTTTTGATTTTCTTGATTTAATATAATAAAATAAATAAATCAATAACGTGTTTTACCGTACTATACCCCTCACTCTATCCTTATCCAGCTGATAGAATAACATAATTTAGCAATGCTAAAATTGAGAACACTAATATCGACATGAATTGAAGGAATTATTTACTGTTCGTACAATCCATGGTGCAGAAACAATTCAAGTTGAAATTATTGTAATAGAGTTATCATGGTATAAATGAAACTTTTTCTTACGTGCCGACGTTCTTACAAAATAGCCGTTATGATGACAAGAATGGAATAGGAAGCAATCAATAAGAAATTTCCAGATATCGAACATCGTCATGCTTAGCAATGTTTGCAATGCTAAATTATGTAATGACGAAAAGATACGGGTGTAATAGTAGTCTAGCGCCACGAAGTAATTTTTAGATATTCCAGTAATCAATTACCTTTTTTACCGTACCATTCTGCTAATATATTTACTGTTGCTACGGTACAGAGCACGAAAGTAAAATAGACGTGGCTAGCAGATATGATAAATCGCTGGCCTTTGCTAACAATCTTCATGATACTTTGGTCACATTAAATGTTTTGACATGATATAGCAAAGTTAATGTTCCAAAAAAAATACAAAGGGTGAAAACTTCATGAACGTAATTTGGTCTTATCTTTACTGCTCATAATTTTGGCTACTTGTAATACCATTTTAGCATCATACCTATTATTGGGTTCTTTTTGAATGCAAGCATCGACTAAATCGCGTAAATCACTCGAATAGCGATCTTTCCTCAGCGGAGGATACTCACACTTTTCGATATGTTGACATAAGACAAGTAAATTGATATTTTCAGCATAAAATGGCGGCCTTAAAGCGGCCATTTCATATAATAAACAACCCAATGACCAAATATCTGATTTAAAATTATAACCATTTTCTTTAACACGTTCTGGTGACATATAATACGGCGTGCCCACTAAAGTATGGGCTACCGTTGTCTTAAAACTAAATGATCGGCCTAGACCAAGATCGCCTACTTTAACCGCTCCACTCGTTGTCATAAAGATATTAGCGGGCTTAATATCACGGTGCATAATACGGCGATCATGCATATGTTCGATTGCACTAGCAATCTGAACAAAGTATTTCCATACAGTGTGCTCCTGAATATATAATTTGCGATTGCGAAAGGTAGTAATCATTTTAGCTAAATCACCAGCATCGGCTAATTCGCATATAATGTATAAAAAATCAGTTTTCATAAACGATGCATAGTACTTGATGATATTGGGATGATCTACTGTTTTTAATAATTCAATTTCTTTCATGCATTCTTGGCGTGCTTTAGAACTTGCTAAATCGGAGACATCGACTTTTTTGACAGCATATTTGGTTTTATCGGTTAAACTTTTAGCATAATAGACGACACTAAATTGACCTTTACCAATTCGACTCTCAATCTTAAAATTATCCAAGGACGAGAATGGATCGGTTTGGCCATCATTGCTTTGATTTTCTTTCTGATTTTGTTGGCGATCTTTTGTGTTAGTCACTATTGTGGCTTTATGTTGCCGAGATGGAACTGCTGTTGCTGTTGATTTCTTCATCCTACCAGATTTTCCACTAACTTTATCCAGCGTGATAGAATAGATAAATTACCTTGGTTGAAATAGTCAAGTTGATGAGTAGATAAATGTAAAGTACCAGGATGGCCTTGGCGAGATAGTATTTTCTCCTAGATGGGAAAAAATTGAAAACTTGAAAATCGAAAAATATTCGGAAGAAATTTTTTTCTTCTCCGTCAAAGTAGCAGATGTTGTTTTCCCTAATTTTTCTCCTCCTTCAATTACTAATACAGTACACTGCGATACAGTGGAATTAACGTTGAATATAACTATCGAAATAGGACGCTACTACGTCTTTGTACGCCTGGATATCAATTCGATTGTCACTATGAAACGACTTTGACTTGCTGTAAAGTAATTTAGGATAGAATTATCTATTAACTTGTTAATGTTGTATAGGTCAACGATTCAATGTGTCCAAGATATTGACGATGAATGAAATGATTATCGCATGTGTAACGATCAGAACTTTATATACGCCTTGTATCCTGGTGTTTATGTCTTGACTTATTATTATTCTTTATTCTTCATTTTCGTCAAACAAAACAATCCTCTAATGTAATGGCTAAGTTTAAATTAGATGCATTAATTTGCATTTGAATTAAGGGTAAAAACAATAGCTGGCTGCAAATTATTCTTCCTTTATACCTTCAAGTAATTTCCTACGGTTGTCAAGAAATAAGAAGTAATATTATGGAAAAACAATTTAGAAACAACAGGATAGGCCAATTAAATCGATAATACATTACTGTTGAATAAGATCAGATAAATTAAAATTACCATAACTGTACTTTCGTTCAATCGTCTTATAGCTGCCGATAACAATAATCTGGTTGCATCAGAATATCATAATATTTTCCATGTTAACTTGGTTACACTGCAGGATTTACAATCATTTTCATATATATATTTGTGAATTAATAGCACCCTTAAATTATTTCAATTCTAATAGCCAAATATACTAATGAATGGAGTACTTGAGTACAAAATTGACATTATTCGATTTATTACGGTCAGTAAGTGGGTAACTAGTCAATGAAAGAGAATAAATAATTTCATCTTGCACAATGTTGATAGAATATAAGTTATGCTTGTTGAACACTCGATCAGCATTCATCGTCTACTTTTAATTGACTTTTTCTATACTGTTTCATCAACAACGATGGCTATAGCAATAAATACATGATTGCATCTTAAAACCTTGACGCCCTTATCCGTTTTATTTATTCAACACATTTAAAATTAAAGTGGATTTTCTTTATAGCTTAGAAAATTATTTTGTGATCGCCTAGATCATTGCCAATGATTGCTTCTATATTATTTCATCAACAGCGATCGCAAATATAAAACTAATTAGCTATATCCTAAAACTTATCTCGTTACCCATATTCTTCATTAAATGAGTTAGAAATTAAATGAATTCTTTCTATATTAATGTATTAACTTGCAATAGCGATAAACACGTACGTGATTATATCCTATAGATTAATTTCATTGCGCCTTTCAACATTAAATAGGTGAAAAATGAATTTAGTAATTTTAATATCATTAAAAGGTGATCAGCAAAACAAAAATGCAATTACTTTGCTCTCCACTAATTATGCTGTATTATCCAATGTAGTAACGTTTATTTTTAATGGTAGCCTAATGCGTGTAGGCT